ACTTGTATAGCGTATAGTCGATTCTTAGCAAAATCTTGTTGGCAAACACTATATGGAAATCCACTTTCTCAGTTCCCTTGCTGTCGCATTTCCAAGTATCAGCCAAATCATTTCACCGAGGAAATCTCTTTTCAATGCTTCGTTAATAGTAGCCTGTACATCCGGGCTCGGGGCGCTTGAGACCTTGATCTTGTACTTCTCTACCTTGTCGACAACTGCAGCAATAGGCACACTCTTCTCCGAAATGGTATCATTGTCCACCTGGCAGCAATTTTTGTTGACGATCATTTTGTGCATCGTTTGCAATGTCTTGGCAATCTCTGCGTCATTATCATCTTGCCGCTTCTTGATCTCCTTTGAGATACTTGTGCCTCTGCTTTTAAAAGAACGTTGTATCACTGCAGCCAAAACTGACTGTAAGTCTTGTCTGCAAAGTACAAGGGTATATGCGTAAAGCTCGTGACTTCTAAAACTCATGTGAAGCATTGTTTAAAGTTTTTGTGATTTTAATTCTACTGGCGAACCTATGAAAGTATCATTAGCCCCAGACACATGCATCAAATATGGTCGCCAGCCACTGAAAAACCAATTACCCTTATTGCCGTTCCTCCTGCTTGAGAAAAAGGACTGAAAAGGGGAAATGACTTACTATTACTACTTTAGTTTTTTTTAACCAAAAGGCTGAATTGTTTTTGGATGAAGTATACAGACGATATTTTAATGATTCCAATTGCCCACTGAACCCAGTTAGTAAATTATACTCTTGGAAAATTGAGCTATTATTGTCATATTGTAATGTGGACTGATTATTATTAAAATTTTATCACACAATATAAAAAAATTTTTTGAGTATATTGATGTGTCTTCCATCTATAAGATGTTTAAGTATATTTTTTTGTATTTTATTGCAAACTTCATCAACAGAAATGTAACAACACAATTATTTCATTCAACGGACATGAAACGTAATCAATAGAAACAAGAACGATGTGTAGGCGAAAGATCATTATATGTTATTAAGCATGGCTCACTTTTAAAAATATATGCTATTGGCAGTATTCATGATAATTAGCCTAACGTTACCACGACTGCAAAGGGACTATAAAACCGGAAATATCCAATGTTGGTAGAATGAAAAGAGTATCAAAACGAATGCCTTACTCATGGAATATTTTGCTATAGAGAAACTTGAATTATTATTGACCATTGTACAATTATGGAAATATCAAACGTTATTAGAGTGAAAAGAGAAATTGGAGCGAATGCCTTACTCAAGGCATTATTCCATGGAAAAACATTGAATTACTTAGAAGTGAATCGAAAACTCCTCTTTCAAACCAATTCTGCCAAAGGATCCTATGACTTTTATGAAAAGACATGTTTACTGTGCAGTTTATACGACTACTCAGTTAGTAGGACTTATTAAGATTTCTAGGGAGAAACAAATTTCCGGCTACGCTGTGGAAGTTCTTTATGTCGTCGGATGAGTCAATAGCTGTAAACAGCATATTTCATATCACCACTACTTCTAGTTAGCAACCGTTACATTGTTCATGTAAATGCATCTAAATTAAGCGTATCAATAGAAATCAATCGCTTCCTAAAGGGCAGTTAGCAAGAATTATCGGCGAAAGAGACACTGGAGAAGCTGCAACTTTTCAGAAACTGATGATCGACAAGTGGCTGCCACATCAACTGCACTGCAGAACCAAGCCCTTGAAGACCAAAGTCTTCCAATTGTGTCGGTTTTGGACAGGTCTCAGGAGTACAAAGTCAAAATGTCGAGCGCACCACGTGCTTACGTAAACGAAGCTATTGGTAAGCTGCTCAGTGGAAAGTTCCTTGCTGGGTTGGCAAGTCTCATCCAGGTGGCCCTGGACCAATTCTTGGGAAACGCAGCAGCACAAGAGTCTGAGAAGATTTATTTTCACATTATGTGTGCTAATAACAGCCTCCTCCGAATCCACTAGATGTTATACAAGTAGGAGTTTGCGTTTACTGGGCTCAAAAGTAACTAGTAGAACGCCTTCTCTTACCACATGCAAGTTGGTATCCTGAGACTTCGAGAAAGTGAACCCACAGATCCTGTTGTACGAGCTTACGAGGGCCATAGGCGTAGCTAATCTTCCCAGAACTGCTGAACATCTTCAAGGGCTGACTAAGTTTGCGAAGGAGCTCTACAGCACAATTCATCAGTTGAAGAATGCTGCTTGAGGAGACGGAGATGGGTCAGGAGAAAGCAGCGGTAGGACTTCTAGACAACCCAAACCTTCAAAACCAGGCGGAGAAGGAAACGAAGGAGGTAAGGAAGGTGGAGAGCGAGAGGAAAAAGGAGGAGGGGAAGGCTTTTAATTTAAAGGAAAGAACAAAGGCGGAAGTTGCAAGCCTCCTAGTTTTCTCCATGTTTCCGGCCTTGGTAGAAATTACCCGAGGAGCTCAGTGATGATCAGGGTAAAGAAGAGTTCAGAAGAACAGAGGAATATGGAGCTATCGTCGTGGAACAAACAGAATCAGAAATCGAATCACCATCATTGAAGAGAAAAACTTTTTAGGGAAGCTGTTGTAGCGTAGTTTGGACATACTTTGGAAGTTCTTTTCGAGTTTATTGTTACGCGTGGTATTAATTATCAACAGAATTGGAACTATGGAAACAGCCTTTACCTGGGAACAAGTTCGACTCCTAAAGCAACATCACACTTTTATGCTTTATATCAAACCAAGAGATTATAATAATCTCTTGTTGAAACATCGCACTCTGTCTTGCTTGGCTTGTCCGAGTGTCCAGGCAAATAACTAGTTTACCGCGATAGTGATAGTTCCTTACTTGATTTAAGCTTAAATAAAGCTGTAACAGATATGGTAAAAAGAAACGTCAACCATTGTGAAGGTTAATCAAGAGCGAGGCTGTCCTCTTGATCGATTTTGTTGTCACCCATGCAGAAATTAAAACGTATCTCCGATTTCATCTACCCCCATTCTTATAAGAATCTTAATTACTTTCATCAAAGACTTCTTAATTGTAACTCATCCAACTATAATCAAACAATCAAGCACCGGAAGCCACAAAAACAGAGGACGTCTGGTTTTCGCCGCACCTCGGAAATTTGCTCTGAAACGCAAATCCATTGTGCACTAAATGCAGCGGAATTTCAACGCATCGCCTAAAATCGAAAAAGTACTCAGACCTGCCTAACTTGGCCTCGGATTTGAAGGAAACAAAATCGAATCCTGGGGCGCTCTAAAATGAAAACTTTGGGACTGTGTTTAACATGACTATGAAAGCAAACAAATTGCCAAGAGTGTTTCTAAGCCGACTTTTCAAGGGTTAGCCCTTCGTCTTTCGCTCTAACAGAGGGCTAACGCTCGAAACGTTAGCTTATAAACTGTTAACGGTGGCCAATTTACATTATTTACTCAGTTGATCAAACCAAATTATCTTGTTATAGTCTTCCACCGACGTAGCACCATGGTTTCCTCGGAAACTTTCCCCCTTTATTCAAATTGCTAAGAAATTTGATTCGTGTTGATTGCAGTAGATTTAGCATGAAACGCAGGCATTTTATGGAGGTATTATCACGAAAGCCTCCATTATGTTGAAAATACTTCAGTTGTACTCATGTTGAAAGATCGGTTGTAAACTACGCGTTCTTAAATCCTATTTTTAAGGACGCGTGTTAAAAAGCGCAATATTAATGAAGTTCCGGTGACATAAGTGACGTATATCCGACTACACCCCGAAATGTTTTTGTGAGCCAGTGCTCTAAGATCGGGCAAATTGATAAAACCGGAAACCTTTTCTCGCTCACGAGACAAAAATCTAAAGCCTTATTTAAAATTAAGAAGTTTAAAAGGGTGACTAAATAAAGGAGTGTCGCTTTTGCATAGTGATCTTATATTTTTCGCGACTTCCGGTCGTGGGCGTAAAGTAAATATAAAGGTCTGGATCGACGTTAGTCCGCTGTACACAGGAAATGTGCACTTGCCTTTCGAGGAAAATCAACAATTTTATTTGAGATTCTACGTATCGCTGTGAAACCACAGATTTCTTCGGAGGGTATGTTTTGTTAGACAGCTGAATTTAATCAGAGAATTTAATGGAAACTGGTTGCCGTGTTGTCCGAGGACCTGACTGGAAGTGGGCAAATCAAGATGGCAGCGAAGGACATGTTGGCACTGTAGTTGTTGTTGGCAAAACCGGCAGTGTATCTTCCCCGGATAAAACTGTTGTCGTTCAGTGGGATGGTGGAACGAGGACGAATTACAGATGTGGTTATCAAGGGGCATTCGATCTCTGTTTGTTTGACAATGGTCCAGTCGGTATGTATATTCTTTTGAAGTTGTATAATAAGTTGTACACTCACACCCGGGCGAATTTGGTGTTTATTCTTTCATTAATTTGATGTGAACCTTACATCGATCTAAACAAGCGCAATTTGCTCATAAGGTGATACGGCATTTGAAAAATCGCGTTTGGACACGGTGCTTCACACAAGCTATGTATTATAAGTGCTGCTACGACTAAAATACACGAACGAAAGCGAAAAACTGGTGAATTCGGCTGCTCACGTAAAAAGCGATACGTAATTATTCATGCTTCTACGAATGTTTTTCATTGTTATTTTCCTTTATGAGAGGATAATTACGCAGAAATGCAATTTGAGATTACTATTTGGAGACGCTTTTGCTTTCTGTGAATTTTGGGCGGCATTCGTGGAAAATTTCGTAGAAGCTTGTAGTTCTGAGAATCAAATCAACGTCATGCATGCATGATTCCACTTGGAAATAGAACTGGAATTTATTATGTTGATTTTTTTTTACCAGGTGAGAAAGCTAAGTAATTCTTGTAGGAAATCAATAAAATTTTGCACCATCACTTTCCATTTTAATGTATTAAAGTTATATGATAAGCTAAACATGAACTGGAATGAACTAATTTTTTTTTAATCAAATGAGAAAGCTACTGTAAGGGAATTTTGTAAATCATCACTTAAATTTTGCATCATAAGTTTTCTCTGCAAGTTGTTAACTTTTATATGAGGAGCTAGATTATAGACGTGTTTTGATTGGTATTTACTTATGATCTATCCGAGGAGAAACACATGGATGACATCACCATTTATTTAATAAAATTTTCTCTAATATCATATAAATTAGATAGATGCCATGTTTCCTTGGATCTTAGAAGACATCAATATGTGGAAAGAAATTTAGTGGCAATTTTTTTGGTTCTGACCAGATCTTCAGCTCATCTGTGATCTATTACTGAACAGATGCAAGGCAGCACGGAGTCTATCTGTAAAATGTTATAGGTGATCCCCAACTGAAAAACTGTACATCTTAGACAGAGTTACCTGTAAATCTCCTTTCATGTTTGGTCCATAGGAAAGCAACCACATAGTCTCTACTACAGGGGTCTTTAAGCTGGGGTTGTTTTTCCAATCTTTCGTTAAAGTGATGTAACAAAATAAGGTTATTGATGACTTGCATTTGTTATTCCAACAGGTGTTATACACAATAATGTTTCTTGTAATGAATGCAAGAAGCAATCCATTGAAGGAATGCGCTGGGAATGTGCTGACTGTCTGAACTACAGTTTGTGTACTTCATGCTATATGAGTGATAAGCATTCACTGGAGCATGGATTTAACAGAATAGAAGCTCGTGGAAAACCAGGGTGAGTTTTTATCAGTTGTTAACCCTTTAACTCCCAGAAGTGATCAACATGAAACTTCTCCCAATAATATCCTTACATTATCCAGCAAACAGCTAATGAGAATATTCAAACTTATCAGGTAAAAGTTGTGGTCTTGATCTAACACCAAATTCTCGTAACTAATTTACAAGGATATGTGTAGCAGTTAGAAGGGTGAATTACCAATCAGATTTTGGGAGTTAAAGGTTTTAGTTATGATTGGTGTCAACATATTCAACAGCATGTTCATTTCAGTTGAAAACTTAACCGTGCCAAGTTTTAGGGGGTCCTTTGTCTTGATTAATTTCATTAACTGTTCTATGCACCTACCTGGGTAAGGTTACGAATCTGATCCTACCAGCACAGCAACGTGTTGAGTGACACATCGTCCGACACACTAGAAATGTCGAGTGGAAAGGAATGACATACTGTGAACACCAGTGCATCACCTGGTTTTGAGGCTCAAATTTATGAAAAAAAAAGTTTCTCTGAAAATGCATAACTCTACACTATGAGCATGTTTGAAATCTGAATCAATAAAAAGGGTGATTTAAGTTTGGAATCAGGCTCAGTAATTCTCGAATTTCAACAGTCTCTTAAATGGTTTTTGCTCAAGTGCATGTCAGTGGTGGTAAGCATTATAAACAGTGACTTGATTTTCATCTAGTTGATATTAAGCTTGGCACTGGTTTGAGTTCAGGTGTTTATGTTTCACCCTTTCATTCACAAGGTCTGCCATGCAATTGTTGTGATGTTAGTTTGGAGAATTTGGTATTGGATCACCTAATAATCCCCTAATTGATATTTTTCTTTTTATTCATCACTTGCCAGCTTGATGTTGTATTGATATTGCAAAGGGAATTTTTGTCTTGGTCCTTTGTGGAAGTTGATTATTATTGTCATTGTCTTTGATATTGCCATCAACATTGTCATCTTGATCGTCATTGCCATCGTCATGGTCATCATCGTGATCATTTTCATTATGTTTGTCATAAGCATTATCATTGTCATTATCACTATAATCATTAATATTATTATTATCTATTCTATTCTCTGTGACAAAGAAGACAATTTGAAATGTGTCACGACTAATTTTAGGTTATCTAATGTGTTTTAATTCCTTTTTTTTTTTTTTTTGTAGGGTTTATGTTGGCCGAAGACTTGGAAAATGCAAGGTTGAGGCCAAGGGTATATTTTGTGGTGCACAGGTTACAAGAGGACCTGACTGGGACTGGGGTAATCAGGATGGAGGGGAGGGGAGTGTTGGTCAAGTTTTAGATGTGAGAGGTTGGGAGACAGAGAGTTTTCAAAGTGTAGCATGTGTGATGTGGAAACCTATGAGTACAAATGTGTACCGTGTGGGACATAAAGGGAAGGTGTGTAGTTTATATACCTACAGAGTTTTCCATGTTTCATCACTGAACTACCTGGGTCTGTAAAAGTAGCAAGGCTAGAAACTTTTTCTTCAAGTCACTTGTTCCTTGGGATAAGTGCAGTGTTATTTTACTTGTTGGGACCAAAAGTGCATTTGTCTGAAAAACCTGACATCTTACAACAACTAGATTGTAAGAAGCCTGATTTGCTTAGAAATTAATGGGCTGCAATATTTTGTGTCATTTTCATGTAGTGTTTGATAAACAAAATTACATTGTTTTATTTTACTTTCTGTAAGTGGTACATCTTGTGGGTAGCAAAGTTATCAAACCTAGTAAAAGTAGTTGATACTGTACTTGTCCTAAGTCAGGTTATCGACATTTGAATGGCCTAAGTTTCCTGCCCTTAGTTGGGAAAGTTGATAATAATGCTGTATCAACATGGCAGATCCAAGAGATGAACAAAACACCATACCACTATCACAATGTTAATTGGAGAATTTGGTATTGGATCAACTAATAATCCTGTTATTTATATTTTTGTCTTATCTCAACACTTTTCAGCTTGGTCACACATCTTTATTAGTCACACATTAGAGTTAGGTGTTAACATCTCTGTAGCTTAGCTGTTGGGGCACCTGACCTCATCTTTCCCTGTACAGAAATTTATGGTTTGACTTGACAGAGAGGTGCAGTGACATCAGAGCTTGAATCTTTTTAAATTGTTTTTTCCAGGTGGATTTGACTTGCATCAGTGAGGGTTCTGGAGGATTTTACTACAAGAATCATTTGCCAAAACTAGGACAGAAGCCTGAATCCCTGATTATTCCTTCAACAAGTAGTGCAGCCTCATCAGCTGGTTCAGTTGATAACTCTGTAAATTTTGATGTTGGTGAACGGGTTAGAGTGCTGTTGGATGTTACTACACTGAAGGATATTCAGGAGGGACATGGTGGATGGAATGACAAAATGGAAGAGGTACATGTACATCTTAACATTTGACTGTTTGAAATACTCACTGACTGAATGGTAGATTGACTGATTGACAGACTAGCAGACTGACTGACTGTCTCATTGACTGGCCAAAAGACTGACTTAGTGATGACAGACTGAGTGACCAAAAGGCTGAGAAAGGTCAACTAACTCACTGATAGACAAACAGACTAACAGGCAGACTAAATGTCTGACTGACTGACTCATCGACTCACTGATGGACAGACTGACTCACCAAAAGACTGACTTAGAGACTGAATTATTCATTGACAGATAAGTGGACCAACAGGCACTACAGATGTAGCATCACAGTTTCTTCAGAAGCTTATCCCATTTTAAATTGAACAAATGTGTTACCATGTAACAGACAAATTGACCAACAGACTTACTGGCTAACCAACCTACTGGTAAATTGACACACTGTCTGACTGACAGCCTGACCAACTGACTTATGGGTAGACAGACAGACTGGCTGACTTAATTTCTGATTCCCTGATTGCCCTGCTGAAAGATACATCTCAGTGATAAACTGTCAAACACAACTTATTACAAAATTATCTTAATTCAGGTGATTGGGCTTGTGGGTACAGTTCATAGAATCACTGAGAGAGGAGATGTCAGAGTACAGTATCCTGGGTTTGCAAACAGGTGGACATTTCATCCAGCCTCACTCACAAAGGTACTGTTTGGTTTTATAGTGAATTATTTTTATTGGCAATTGATCCTTTTCATACACCAGCACATCAAAGGATTTTGCCCAATGATAAAAGAACGTTCCAGTGACGAATAGTTAACAGAGAAGTGTAGCCAGAGTATCTGTGAAATTTTGAAGACTAGCCAAAAATATTACTTAGAATATACAGCACCAGCATAATGGGTAACTTCAAAATTTTGAAGACTAGCCAAAAACATTACTAAGAGTATACAGTACCAGCAAAATGGGTCACTTCAACTGCATATTTTGTCATCCATCGACAGGTGGAGGAGTTTCGTATCAATGATAAAGTAAGCATCATAAAAAATCAAGCATTGCTCAAGAAACTTCAGGTTGGGCACGGGGAATGGACAGATAGCATGGCTGTGGTAAGGAAATGGATATCTGAGAAATAATTGTTTATTCGTAAAGCGCAAATTTTTACGCTCGGATCGAAATTGTCTGGAACTCACTTTTTATAGCTTACTTTTCGATTGAGTGTCGTAAAGTGGAAACCAACATAATTAATCACTCAATCAATCAATCAATCAATCAATCTTAACCAATCAGAAGAAAGGAAAATTTTCATAGTAAGAGCCGATGAGAAGTCAAAGCAAAAAGAAACAAACTGTCTAAGGCGCGGGAAAACGCGGGTGACCAAATTTCAGTTTTGCATCTCATTGGTTGAGAAAGTGGCACTAGTTTTTTTGGACCAATCACAGAGCGAAGTAAAGCAAAAACAATGCAACCCCGGATTACTTTTGATTCTTAATTAGAAACTGCTCTATTTGTTCCAGTGGTAATTATCTTTGTATTCCTCAAAAGGCTTTAGGCAAAGTGGGTAAAGTACTAAAGATTTATTCCGATGGCGACATCCGCGTGGCTGTTGCTGATCATGCTTGGACGTTTAACTCAGCTGTACTTGTGAAGGAGGAATCTGCAGCTACGCCATCTGGTTATGACCCACAGTCCACCTCGCAGAGGGGACAGGTAGAGTTGCAAGGAATCTTACAACCGTCGTCATCCTCGTCATCTTCTTCTGCCTCACAACAGAATCATCATGACAATTTGACAGCAGAGGAACGAAGGCAATCTCAGCAGTTGCAGACGGAGATAGGTAGGAAACTTAACCCTTTACACTCAAACATCAGTATCCATATTTTCCTTACCCTCCTCTATACGTTTTCTTTTGTACTAACAAGGAGAATTCCTTTAACAATCAAAGCTTCTTAGGTCGGTGGTCATTTTCTTTATTCTCTTGGTTTTAATGAATGATTTAGCAGTATTATTGTGAGGAGAAATTAGAGGCTGATCACTCTTAGGGTTAAGAATTGCCTGCTACTGTCCATTGCAGAACATGTGTGTTATCACAACTTTCTGAACTTGATACAAAAATGTGTTTTCTCTAAAATATTGAAAAACACATTCTTTAAGTGTAAGGTATTAGTTTTTTTCCTACAAGCCTGTTAAAGTACACATTCTGTTTATGTATCGAAGCAAGACACACTATTTTATGATGATGATGGGAAAAGCATTTTGGTAAAACCTTTTTGTTACATTTGTGGTCAGATTTTTAAATTTGAGACTCCAAAATGTAAATGACGAACCATCGATCCGAATTGATTTTTCTAATCGTCTTTAAACATGCTGTCAAAAATATAAATCTGTTGTTCTAAACAGTACCACTCACATGTCAGTTGACAGTCCTTCGAAACTCAATCCACGATCCACGATTCTCGATTCACACATACATACATACACATACATACATACACTTTACTGGATCTCCCTTAACAGGGCTTTTCGGACAGAACTAACTAAATCTACAGTATCTGCAATCATAATTACAATCATGATAAAAAAAGCCAATGATGTTTATTCATTAAATATACTGTAAAATTATCTCGATCCTCGATTCTTAAGGCTCAAGTGGAGTTCGAGAAAGTCGAGAAATTTCCGATTCGAGTTTGGAGACTTTTGTCTTCAATTGAACATGTAGGTGGTGATAGAGGCTTCTCTAAATTAATTGATCTTTTTGTGTTTGTTTGTTTTTATGAAGACCAATCGCTGAGATCCTTGTTAGATCACCTCCGTATCAACAGTTCAACGGACATTGGATCCATGATCATAAGCGAAGCAGGACAAGGGAATGTTGAACAACTAAAGGACTTGTTCCGTGCTCATCCAGATAAGGTGTCATACTGTATTATTCTGACTTATGTTTCAAAGGCACCAGAAAGTCGCTTGTCGTACAATGCATAATTACCTTCAACAGAACGAGTTTCAATTGAGTGTCGAAAATATTCCGGGATTGCTTTTGTGATTGGTTCAGAAAACGTGCGCCATCCTCTCAACCAATCAGATGCCAAACTAAACACAATCGCGACTGCGTCACTCGCGTTTTCCCGCGCTTCAAGCAGTTGGCTTGTTTTCACCCTGAGTTCTTATTGGCCAATAACCATGTAAACTTTTGTCCTGATTGGTCACATGGATTACTTTGGTTTTACGACACTCAATTGAAAACTTCACTATGAACGAAACTATTGGTTTGATAAGGTAGGAAGACGTGAAAATGAGAGAACAAAGGAACGGGGGTGATGAGAGATGAAGATCACTTACTCGCATCAAAAGTGAGGAACTTGAATATTTTACCTGAAATTTTTTTAAGATTCTCATATCTTGACGCAAGTCCTCTGAAGCAGTTAGGGTTGGGGTTAGGGTTAGGAATATCGGGGGCTCTCTTGGTTTGAAGCAATGTTACCTGGTGCTTTCCTTAAAGGTTCCATTATTTTGTTTTAACTGACTTAATACTGTGTTTGCAGGTGGATGTGGTGCGATCAGACAAGACAGCACTACAGATAGCCAGTCATCAGGGACTCACAGCTGTTGTTGAACTTCTGAATCAGTTTGGCGCAGATATTAACTTACAAGTTAGTGATTCTGATTAAGATTAATCAATACATAGACGTCAGAACTTTTTAGCGATGCTGGAACAAAGAATAAACTTAGTCTCTTAAAGAATTTGATCCCTAACCTGATCCCTGTCAGTTTAGTTGTTATGTACCCAACTGATAAAGAATGTTTTCAATGTTATCTATGTTTAAAGGATCTTAAAGTAGGGTCGGTCTCTTAAATTTAATAGCAATATAATCTATTTCATTTAAAGTAACACACTTACCTTGTGCTAGGCAATAATTTTTGGCATAAATTTAGATACACAAACTTGCGTACGAAGCGTCTGAATTTGAGTACGAATCGACTGAATATGAAACGTCCAGGTACGAAACGGCTGGATACCACCGCTTCTTGCATGTAATGATACAGTTAGGAAATGATAATTTATAAATTCGATCGTCGAGTAAAGGAAGATTGATTGACACAGGTACGTATCCAAAAAGGAAGCTTAGGGTTCAGAAGAAACCTAGAACAATTTTTGTGCAAATTATCCCAGGATGTCCAGAGTAATTAGGCTGAACAAACACGTAGTCCATCTAGTTTTAACGTATTGTTTTGTTTCCTTTTCCAGGATTCTGAAGGTGACACAGCTTTGCATTATGCAGCATTTGGGTGAGTGACAGATACAGGGGTTACTGACCAATCTTAGTCTTAGTCAATACGTCACTAATTTGCTTAGCAGTCCTCGTTTTTGTATCTATTTGCTCTTGCATGGAGCGAGAAACTGTGTCTTGTTTAAACCCAGAACTTTAAAGAATAAATATCACTTTATTTATGTAGCGCTATTTCTATCGCTATCCAACAGCGCTTTACAATGACTAAATAAACATATAGTGCTTGAAAATTCCAACTGGCAGGAGGCAGACCAGTTGGCTATTTACACAGCGCAGCCAAGGAGTTGAACTCGGGGCGACCGAGAACAAATCCAACGCATGGCGGGGTGGAGGACTTGAACCCGGGACCACCAGATTACAAGTCCAGCACCCTAACTACTTAGCCAAGCCGCCTCCAGTATATAGACCTTATAAGACCATCATAGGTGCCAGCACTAAAGAGTGATCCAGACCCTCTCGTAATGATTCATAACAATTAACTACAATTTATTCCAATAGTAATCAGCCCACAACAGCTGCCACTCTGTTAAAAGGAGGCGCAGATGGAAACCGGCTCAACAAAAACAAATGTTCCCCGTTGCATGTTGCAGTAAACAAGGGCTTCACGGACGTTGTGAAAACGTTTCTTAGCTGTTCATGTAACGTCAATGCTCAAGTATGTTACTTATTCGTACCTTGTCGTTGATGTAAAGAGTTATTTTATAAGATAAAAATAAAAATGTAGCCTGAACGGACTGGGAGGACCATCAGTGACGTCGCTAACCCTTGTTAAAATCTGTTCATTCGTAGGACTCTTATGGTGACACTGTTCTTCATGACGCTATTGCTAAAGACTTTGCAGACATTGTCGAACTCCTCATAAACTTTCGTGGTATCGACTTGTCGATCAAGAACAAACGAGGATTCAATTGTTTGCACCATGCTGCCCTGAAAGGAAATGCAAGGTCAGTATTTAACGTGAACTATAAAGGGAAATTTCAAGTAGGGGAAAGTGGAAAGAAATAAACTTTTAAACAAAGTAGCTGCAAGTAATTAGCGCGCTTTACTCTTAGCACTCATCAAAATCATCATTTTGTGCAGCCCAAATTAGTCAACCTAGCCAATCAGAGTAAGATCTGAATCACAGGGCGCCAATAAGAGTTCCAAAGAAACATACAAACGATCGCAAGCGCGGGAAAGTACGCGGGCAAACGGCTGAGAGGATGACGTTCTTTTTCTGCACCAATCACGGGACGCATTGAAGAACAGCGAGACAAACTAAAGGGGATCACTTTCCAAACTCAATTTAAAATTGCTCTGGTTTATATAATCATAATGTTTAGCAAGACGAAGAAGTTTAGTAACCCATAGGTTGCTGCAAACTAGCAGATAATGCTTCTCAAAACCAGAGTTCTCGGGGATGGAAGGGTTTCAATGACCTTTGTGACCTTGTCTCTTTCACATTCTTCAGAGCGGCGTCGCTAATTGTTCAGAAGTCACCAGAACTAATGAACTCCGCCAAAGAGGATGGCTTTTCGGCGCTTCATCTGGCCTCACTTAACGGACATTACAATGTTGTTGAATGTCTAGTTCAGGTAAATGTGTGTTTGACTTCCAGCCAATATTTTTGGCTAGTATGATAGTAGCTCAGAATGTTTCAGAAGTATCTTTGCCTTATGGGTGGCTCCGCGACTCCGCAAGAACAAAGATAGTGCAAGTGGCCCAGAGACTTTGTAGTTCTGGACGGCTTTTTAAGAGAAGAAAGCACTACATAGGGCCGTCATTGAGACAATTAAATGGCAAAAAACAGACAAACAAACAAATAAATAATGATTTTCTGATATGTATTATGCAATTGCTTGGTGTAATCTTTTAGCCATGCGATAAATCCAAGCTTTTTGGTAACAATCGAGTGTTCTTGTCAGTTATAGTCTGTGGTGTTGAAATAATAAACCAAATAAAACATTTTTGCTTGTAGATATCGAATTTCTCTTCTCGTGTTCAACTCTACATCTCACTCGTTAGCTGCCCCCTCTGGTGAGATATTAAGTTGAACGCTCGAAGAGAAACTCCATATTCACGCGCGCCCGTGTATTATTCTCAAAATATTTGCGAATCTTGAAGTGCAACTAAAGCAGGCTAACATTTTGCCACCTCTTTAGGCTCGCGCTCTTTCTGAAGTCGATATCCGCAATGGTCGTCAACAGACCCCTCTCCTCCTAGCAGTCGATAAAAGACACGTGACCATAGCTAAACTGCTTTTGGAAAACGGAGCTAATGTCAACGCGCAAGATGATGTCGGTGATTCTCCACTTCATGTAGTAGTCATGTATCATTCCCTAAAGTTTGGGGGGAATAATGCTGCAAAGAAAGAGGTAAGACTTGGACATGTAGATCATATCAATCAGCTTTTGTCTGTCTGTCTTTTACTGGTTGCTTGACTGCTTGCCTGTCTGTCCTCTTTTGTCTTTGACTGTTTGCGTCTCTGCGGTTTATTTCTGTCAACTTACCTTTCTTCCTCATGCTCTTTGCCTGACTGCCTACTCGTCTTTCCCCTTCTGTCTTTGTATTTGTGCCTCTCTGCGGTCTATTTCTGTCTACTTACCTGTCTTCCTCATTCTCTCTGCCTGACTGTCTGCTTGTCTGTCTCTTTCTCTCTGCCTGACCGTTGCCTCTATGTCTCATTATGGCTGCCCGTCTGTCGCCGTATAGTCCATTTATGTTTCTCTAGGGCAGTGTCAAATAGTCAATACTGTGGATGTGTCCCATAAGTTCTCTTATAGTCAGTCTGTTGACCAGACCTACTCTGGGATCATCTGTCTCTTTGTCCCTCTGTTAGTCAAACAACAACCGTCTCACTCTCTAATTATCTTTGAGAGTCACATTTAGATGTACTTTTGTAGGCCTATCTGTCTGGTTATGTGTCTTTCTCTGTTTGTCTGTCAACTATCTGGATGTCGTCTGTTAGACATTTGTTTATATTCAATACCCTAGCCTAGTTCAAATGTATAAGATTATATTTGGTTACTGTGATATCAATTGCCATCATTACTTTGATATTATTGGAATAACTCGAACTAGAAGTAAGCATGAGTATGAAAAAGTTGCTCGTACAAATTATTTTAAATATTCTTTTTTTAATAGATATATTAACGATTGGAACTGTTTGCCTTCTGAAGTAATGTCATCCCCTAGCCTTCAGTCTTTTAAAGTTTCACTAATTAAGTACCTCCGCTCATAATTACCCCAAATACCGGTTTTTTTTTTTGTTATAGTTTTTTTTTTTTTTTTTTGGAGGGTATGTCTTAGCATGGGAATTTAGTTTCCCCCTACTACCGTCCTGTCAACCATTTTCGTACTTTTGTTCGATGTATGGTTACGAACTGTGATTAAAGATTAAAGATACAGATTAAAGATATTTAGTATTTAGTGGTAACTTGAGTTCAAAGTCCGTCGTTTAAGCTATCGCGATGAGTTTCCAAATTATGACCGCTTTGTCTAACTTCCAAAAGTTGACGTGCTTAGTTTGTGTGCTGACCTTGCCTTGGACCGACACGAAAGCTGTTGTTTTTGCTTACGCTCTCAAAGATTAATTTGGTTGATCGGAAGCATTAAGTACATTGTTGTTAATTTGTGAGATTATTGTAATAGTGTTTGGGTTAGAGATTCGAGAGTCCCTTGTGCCTTTCGTAAGTGCGTGTTGCGGTCTGCCGTCAGCTCCTTCGACATTGCGACCCAACGATATGTTTCATCTTAACAAGTTTCTCATGCATGTTGTTATCTTTACAGCTTCCTCCAAGCGAACCTACATTTGCCATAACCAAATTACTAATGGAGCACGATGCAGACTTGACACTTGTAAACAAACACGGGAAAACTCCAGTACAGCTGTGCAGAGATCCACGGCTCCGAGAGATCCTGTTACCTAATAGCGTAGCAGAGGACGAGTGAGTAGAAATAACATCCGACAGTCTTTTACCGACCAAATTTGTTACGTTTTCCTTGCGCATTAATCCCTTCCACTCTTAGTCATTTTTATTCCTTCGTTGCCGTTCGTATTTTTATCTTCAACCAACCTAACGTTTGCAAACTCCTCCAAGCTTCCTCATATACATGTAGTTTTAAACGCCGTAAAATAATTTTCAAAATATTGCGTCGTACTCCTTCAAGCTCAGCTACCGAATAAGGAATGATATCGAATTTGTTTGTCTCGTGCGAGTGTCGAGATGTAACTGAGGAATGATCGAAGTTATGAGTACGGCTGTGAGGGAGACCTCGTGGCTCAAAGAAGTTTTCGTTTCATTGTGCGTATGGGGGTGTTTTTTTTTTTTTGCAGTGCGACGCCGAAGAAATCTCAGACATCAAATGGCGCCTCTCCGCATGCATCGTCGAGCTCGACTTCTGGAGTTTCCATGGAAACAGGCCGCAAATGTCGTGTGTGTGATTTACCTGCTAACGCAACCTTTTCCCCGTGTGGTCACTTGGTCGCTTGCATGGATTGTGCGCCAATGCTAAAGAAGTGTTTTCTTTGTAAGGTAAAGTATAAAGAGCATAGGCATATTTCGTGGATTATGAAATTTCAATTTTTTCCTAACAATAATGGTCAGAATTTCTTTGCCCCGTAGTAATAATTAATTTCCTCCCTCTATGCTTTGCAGGCTGTGGTTGAGTCGTTTGCCGAAGTACACCAGGGAGGGGACAGTGTGGAATGCGTAGTGTGTTCAGATGAGCCACCCTCTGTCAAGTTTGAACCGTGTGGGCACATGATAGTTTGTGAAGGTTCAAATATTTTTTTTGACTGCGTTTGAAATTTTTATCACTGATACAAGACTTCAATCCGTGAGTGAATGACAGAAAAGTTCTCTGGTTATACATAAGCCTTAAGGTGACTCCAACCCCCCACCCATTCTCTCCGCCATCCCATTCATGTAAGATCAGAAATTGTAAGATCAGAAATTGAAAGATCTCTTGGGAAACCCTTGGGAGGGGCATGTTTTTACTGATCACTTTATCTCTTAAGTTTTTATTTCATCATATCTCCCGTCACTAGGATGTGCCACACGCATGAAGAAGTGCCTTAAATGCAAGAGGGTTATTGAAAAGAAAATATCCAGTGGTGAGTAAATGAGATCTTACATTTTGCTGCAGTAGATCGTAATAAATAAATAAAAAAACATTTAACTTTGTTCCCTTGGGGAATGGAGTCAAGGATTTTGGAGATGTAATGTCGGAACCTTTTTCAGACTGTTTGATAATCGAGAGGCTTTCATTTGTCCACATTTTTAGTCGCTTGAATGTCAAAGACTGCGTGAAATATTCAAAAGCATTCGAAGGCTAAAATGTGAAATTTCAAGCGAATTTGGAAGTCTATGGAAAAACAAACAGTCGTGGACATATGCATTCCATTGAGAATACAACAACGTCAGTGAGTGTAAGGCAGGCCGTGTAAATACTCAAGACAAATAATTTTTCCGGCGATTTTTAAAATTTTCTCCTTTTTTTTTCGTCCTTAGGGAAAAACGCACCTGCCAAACCAGCAGAATTAAGCGAAAACGATGAAAAATACTTGGAAACACTCCATTCTTTGCTGTCGCTTCAAGCTCATGTACGAGAGATTGAAGATGCCAACATGTGCGCCATTTGTCTTGAAAAACCTCGCAACATGGCGTTCCTGTGTGGCCACGGCACATGCGTAGAGTGCGCTACGACACTAGAGGTGTGTCCCATGTGCAGGAAACCCATCACTAAGAAGATAACTCTGTTTAACTGATCAGAGTGCACAGGCAACCCATCACGATGAGAATGACGCTGTTCATATGAACGAAATGTTATGGTGAAATGAATTTCTGAGATCACATGTTACAAACGGTAACTTGCGTTTGGGCAAATCTTGCATCTAGACATTACCTATGTTTTGTCTAAAGCTTAAATTTGTTTGTCAAAAACGCTTTCTTTTGTTCAAGATAACTTCGAAAGGTCCATATATTTGTGCAGGATTTCGATTGCTTTGTCGGTTGAATTCCTCTTGTTTGAATAGATAAATATTTTTCAGAGGATTGCTTACGTAGATTAAGACAACATAATTGACATAAACTTCAAGGTGCGTTAGTTTTGGAAAGAAAAAAAAAAGACACTTAAAAGTACGATAAAAAATAGAGGAGTTGCAAATACAGTTCAAAAGACTGTTCGGAAGAATGTTCCGAAGGCTGTTCGGAAGACTCTTCCGAAGACTGTTCTTTTCGACCTGAATATAGTTCTTGCGAATTCGTTGTTCATAATCTTTACCAAGAAATAATACATGGGACTTTAGACACCTTGGTAGCGAAAATATTAATGAAAGACGGTCTAGAAACTTTCCAAAAAACGTACGGGTTTGTTAGTATAATGCTTACAACTGATTGTGGTTTAGAAACCGCGAAGGGCTTATAATTCCTTGTAATTAACTGGAACTAAGAAATATTCTACATCAAAGTTCTCAGATGTTTTAGATTTCGCTAAAAGAATATATAAATCCCAGCCCAGACCCTTGGATGGAGTGTTCCTTGCTGGTTCAACCAGATCTCACTGGATTGTTACGTTAGGTCACCGATTGAGACCAACCAGGCTTACCAGATTTCGCATGGGCAGGGCAGCTCGAGGGAAATACAAGGGACTGGTGAAAAGATCCAGTTTAAAGGGTTTCAAGGTCTTTCAGTTATTAACCAATTGAGGAGCTAATTTCAGAAATAGATCTTAGGTTTAGAAGTGTGTTAGAAAAAATACGATTTAGTTTAGCCCCTTTGAGAAGTTGTTTAATGATATTTATCCGACTCTAATATCTCATTTGCCACTGATTTTAGCTGGGCTTTTGATGTGGCAATTGAACGATTTTGCCTTTTGACCAGTACACACAGTAGTAGTGTGACGCGTTCCTAATCGTCTCTTGTCTCTGAAGAACGCGAATCCTTAAGTCAAGGAATGAATTTTGTCCTATTTTAATTTATCGCGAAATGAATTCCTGTTTGAACATAATTTATTATCGAGGCTAAATGCTAAGTTGGTGCTCTTCACTTACCTCAATAGAGCTTGAGATTGGTATGTGAGCCTTTGATGTTTATATATATATATATATATATACATATATTGCTCTTTAGTTTTCATTAAAGTGATTCTCAACGCACAATTATGCAAACACATGTTGTGGTTCTGTTTAAGTGTGTATTAATGTAATTGTTTGTGTTATTAACCATTCTTTGGTTATCCTCCTCACGTGTAGCCTTTTCTAGCCGTTCAGTTAGTATATCGAAGCGAAAAAGTAGGCGGCGTAATAATAGCGGCGGAGCGAAAAAAAACTATGAGGCTTGGGCCGGGTCGCGTTGAGGAAGGAAGTCCGACCCAAGCCTCCTACAATTACCCGACCCGACCCGACCCAGACCTCTCATGCCTTCTCCATCCGTCGGTAACTATTGCACTTTGTTTTACCAACTAGTCTCCTGGAACAGCCAACTTCACGGGTAGTCTTGTACCTAGACTTTTCACTGCTAAGCTGTCACATTTCAGTTACAGTCACGGTAGGATTTGGGTACGAGATTACCTCTCGGGTCATTGTTGGATCACTAAATGCGTACGTTACTACAGATCAGACTAAAACTCGTCAAAACCCCTAATAAAGTGAATAAACAGGGACCTAGAGTCGAACGTTTATTTTCACATCAAAAAATAATCTATGATCTTTTACACCAGTGTCTTTTGAATAATTTTACAAAACAAGACATGAATTTCATAATTTGTGTTCAATTCTAACCGTCGTTACTGTATTTGTAATCTGTTATGACCAGAGATTTACACTGGACTAGGAGAGAAGGGTGATTTTTAAAATAAGAAGCTAATCAAGCGAAGATTGAGCGTTTTTTTCTGCAATATACAAGAAACTAAAACTTGCAACTAATTGGTATAATTACTCACTCCAGGGTATTCGATATATTTGCCATGGTTCATTTTTTATCATTATATTTCAGCCTACCACCGTGAAGCTTAACGAACTGTTGACTCGCTATTGCTTGTCTTTATAAATGTGAATGCCAGTTATATGGTTTCCTTGGGTAGAGATTAGTTCACTCTACTGGTGACCATACCATCTTGACTCAGGATATCAATTTCTCAATCATGACCATTATCTACGCCAATCAGTTGCAAAAATACTGACGTAAATAATGCGAAAAGAAAGGCCTTACTTGTCATACCCCTTTTAGGACTTTACATTTTAAAAGAAAACATTCCGATCCCATTTCAAACATTACGTTACTATGAAGCCCTGAGAGGAGAGTCCCTTTTCTTTAAGGCCGTGACAGAAAAGGCCCACGTCGTCCCTTTTAATGCTGCAGTAGTAATTTAAAGCCCTTGGACCGTACATGGTTCGTATTGAGGCCCTTTATATTTTAAACTGGAGTTTTTTCAGGCCCCTTAACATTAAGTATGGAAACACAATAGAATAAAATACAACTACAAAGCAGGAACCAAGGACTGCAGGATTATATCCTAAAAAGGAACATCGAAACCATGAGCGAGGCTGACAAACTTTCTCTCGCGCCTACATGCAGAGGATTAAACAGTGAAACTCTCTTTTGCCGCCACATTCTTATTGCAGCCACTTTAAAACGAAAAAATATCGGTAAATCATAGATTATTCAAAAACCCCATTACAAATATTCATCATTTTCAGATCAGAGAAGCTCCATTTTAAAGTTAAAACGAGGCACTCAACCCAATGTTCAGTTTTGTACATGGTATAACAAATGTTGCCGTATCTATTTTCTCATCCTCCTTTTTTTTCTTTTAATCCTAAACAGTTATACTGCGCTGTTTTTCATTCGCTGAGATGTCGCTTTCTCTTTTTCTTCGTTGACTCACTTCGCTTCTTCTTCTTTGTCACATGACCTAACACTTCCAGTTCTGTCTCCTCAAGCCCAGGCCCCGAACGGAAAAACTCCCTTTCGTGCGGGTAAGGGGCCTCGGACCTAACATGCACCTTCTGTGGTGAACTTACAACAGATTTTTTCTGTCCTTTTTCATCTTTTTTGGTACCAGGTGAAGGAATCGACTGACGAGCAACGGCATCTAAAGTAATATAAACAAAGTGAGATGTGTTATAAGAAAATGCCTTCAATTGAACAACTTTGATGCATTATCATCCACAACCATGTTAGGGACAACATCAAATGCTATAAAACTAAGGCAGACTGACGAAGATACATAGATAAAAGAATAAATAAAAGATTTACCCAACAAACCCTCAATAATGTCTTGCCACACGCCTTGACCCTAATAAGTTGCTATTAAGGCTTCAGTTTACCAACGTTGATAACATCATTAATCAAAATTATAACACAATTCTCGAACGTGATTGGTAATTACCAGCCCGATTTGAGCACTAATAGGACAGTGTGCACGTCATGCTTGTAATTGGACAGTATAATAGCTCAGTTTAAGGGACAGTTGACACGTCATGCCTGTGTAAGTGGACAGAACACGTCATGTGCGCGCGCTGTTGTCTCGCATTTCGCCGAGTTAAAGGTTGTTTTTTTTTTTTTGTGAAAACGTATAACCGATGTCTAGTTTCTTTCTCAAATTTCGTCATAGTTTTGATTAATTGGTAACATGACTTTGTGTCGTCCAATTCTGTCTGTAATCATACTCGTACTTAACAAATCGGACTCCCGCTTCGTGGTCGTCCGATTTGGTTAATCACTCTCATGATTACAGGCCGAATTGTACTCCACTCGGCCCGATTATCATTATTTATCATAACCGTTACAATTTCCTCAAATTTGTGCATTAGCTGCCATACTTTTCACTTAATATACTGCAGAGTTGTAATCGGACATTTGGTTGTAATCGGACAGTTAAAGCAGCCAATCATACTAAGTCCACTCAGCTAAATCCACCAATCGCATAATTGATTGCAATTACCATAACACCAACTACTAAACCCTACTAAACTGGGGAATTTAAAAAATGGAGGAATTTTTTACTTTAGACAATGTGTTTTATCGGAGATATTCTCCTAAATGAATATGTACACTTTTTTCCGAAAATTGTAATGGTTATGATTAATTGGTAACAGGACTTTTTGTCGTCCATTTCTGCCAGTTGTCATACTCGCGATTGATAAATTGGAATTGAAAAGACCGAATTGGACTCCACTCGGTCCTATCAAGCCATTACGAATATTTGAGAGAGGAGATAGTACACATCCTTGCCAATGGAAGAGTACTCACCGGTAGTGGAAGGGTCGGTACAGGCCGCTGGTTCCACAAACATCCTTTCTTTGATCGGTTGGCATCCCCCACACGACCCTCCACATTCACCGTATGCCATCGTTCCGTCTTCCGCCTTACGAACGCTTAGCAACCGCTGTGGTACTTTTGGTGTGCCCCAGGCCTCCCAATCTACGTCTTTACGCATGCGTAATCCCGTGCCAGAGAGATCCACCTGAAATTTACCCTTTTGACATTTGGAGGCAGCTGAGAAGCAGTCTCCCGCGCGAGCAAATCGAACTGGGTTGCCCTCAGTCTTTGCAAACTGGAAGTCATCTCTGTGAACGAGACCCGTCGTGGGATCGACACGAATTTTGTTAAACCTGGCATTAAAAAAAAAACCAAGAAAGTATCGCTTGCATCAGTTTCAGATCTCTCTCTCAGGTTTTCATGAATTTTCATGTTGGAAGTTTTAGGTCGTCAGTTATAAGCAAAACCCACCTTGTTGCTCCCCAGTAGTTCGCCGTCAGTTTGGGTTCAGGGTTGATAGAGCCAGAACAGGATTCATAGTTGAGCAGCCTACCCCTGTAAAAACTAGCGAAGTTCCTATCGGGGCCAGCAGGCAGAGTAATGTACTCACGGGGGGAGGCTGTATCGAGGCCATGGCAGTACAAACGAATAGGATTACAAGAAGGAGTCATCTGTATGACGTATTCATCATCCTTGAACCCAGGCCACATTTTCTTGACCTCAGTGCAGCTCCCTAGTTGAAAGCAATATATTGTAATGAAAATACTTCCCGAAAAATGTCCTGAAATTCAAAATTTTGCTGCACTGAAAATAGCATATTTTCCTGAATTAAAGAGTGTTACTTACGAGGAATCTGATATTGCAGACTTGGCCTTAGAATCGGTTTCTCAGAAAGTACCGATGGTGCATTAGGGCACTCCAAGGTGAAGCCAACGGATAAGGAGTCCCTGTTAATTCCTTCCTTGTGCAGGGCCTCAATCCAATAATACTTGCCAGCCTCCAATGGAATGTAACCAGACTGTTGGTAGGGATGTCTGGGAGAGGAGAGGTGAAAGGCATGAAAACTGAGTTAAATTCAAATTAAGATCGCGCGAAGTTACCAGACTATAATTATGTTCCCAAGGCTGCTGTTTAAAATCTGAGATCAGATAAATTGAAAATGGTTAAAGTTAAATTGAAAATAGCACAATGAGCGAAATTCTCTTTTAAGAAGAATAACCTGGTTGTTACCAAAAAATAGGGCTTATCCATTTTAAAACGTAAAACCTACTCTGCAAACTTGTTGTGCCCAGTTCCTCTAACCACGGCAAACAAATCTTTGTCTTTTTCTCTCGACGACCCACTAAAGAACAACTCAGCTTCATCGTTACCAGACAGAGAAAACGAGTAGGTTCCCGTATAGGGCGCCACGAAGTAGCCTCTAATTCGGGAACCGTAATCGTCGCCCTCGTTCTTAGGTGCGTCGAAGTCCTCAATGATGGAGGCCTCAGAGGGGTTGTTTGGATAGTCTTTCTGCGTGGCCAAGTCCGTTATAGTGGTGCCTTTAACTCCGCGCCAGACCTCCCGCTTCACGCCTGGGTACGGACCCACAAACTTGGCTATTATAGGAAGGAATCATAACAAAAGTAAGTGACATAACATGAACTTTGAGAAAGAAGACACGTGACAATATTTGAGATTACTCCCAGTAGTTCCACACTGATGACGTAAAACCACGAGTGGTCTCCGTGATTAGCTGTCACAAAACTAGCCAATCGAGGCATTTTTTTCAGACCTGCAGTAGAACGTCTTCAATACGAATGTTCGTTCCTTATTTAGAATTTGTTTTAATTGACGATGAACTTACGTATTCTGTGAGTATCCTTGAGGGTCACGATTTGATCATCTGGGAGAGCACAGGGGAAGATATAGAACTCATCCAGGGCACCCTTGAATTGGCGTCGAGGCCCCTCATCGTCGTAAAATGTCCCAATATACGCGGCCTTACTCCAATCTGTGTTCAAAGCTTCAGTCTCTTGTGCATCCGTCTGTTCATAGTTCTTAACAGCTCGTCCATTGATGTAAATTGCGGCCTGTTTGCTTTCAGGATTGTAAATTCCCGCCAAGTGAACCCATTTATTTTCTGGGATTCCCTCAATGGTAGTTCTCCCGTACACTGTCTTGTCCATATTCCGTTGGAAGAAGCGAACTTTACCCTTGTTTAAGATCTCAAAGTGGTACTGTCCCTGTTTCGAGGGGTCTGTTATTCCAGGTGCTTCCGTCACGAAGATCTCGTTTATGTTCGGCGCAGTCACGTTCTTAACCTTGACCCATGCTGATATAGTAACACCAAGAGTGGGCTTACCCTGTAGAAGTAAGTAAGTAAGTAAAGGCTTTATTTGAAGAGGGTTTGATTAAACAGAAGTAAAAAAGCACTAATAAACTAGTGGTCATCGTTTCACCATAAATTACTTAAAAGTCGGTGTTATAAAGTTTAAAAGTGTTATACATCACAAAATTTAAAATGTAAAAACAAATATCCAGTCGACAACCAAAAGCACAACAACCTTTTCCTTCATTGAAATTACATAGTTAAAAAATCACATTTCAAGTGACGAGGGAGCTTTCTGATCATTTAAAAATGTCTCATAACTTATATATACTGCACTTGATACGAGCCCCTGATATTTTCTTCCTCGTACTTGACTCTATAGTGTTCCATTCCATAATTGTCTCACTTTAAAAGTTATCCTCCCTAAGTTTCGTTAAGTACTTTGGACAAATCAAAGTTAAGTTGAATACATTCCTATGATTTTATTGTATCAATATGATGCGTGATTTATAAGCTTGTCACGCTAGTCACGCTATACTCTTCATCTTAACCAAGTTTGTTAGACGTATCCTCCACCAAATTTCAAGTTCAAGATTTTCTCTTCTGAGATATGTCGCAAATTCTCAAAGCACCTTACCTTGAAATTCATTCCATCCAACTGAATGAACCCGTCTGATAAGTCTACACCGTTGTCTTGGTTGTATCCCGGCTCAACAACCACACTCCCGCGGGACAGCCCGTTGTTGCCAGAGCCCGACTCGTCAAATACTTCACCCGCGCAAAACTTGTCGAAGTCGTAATACAACACGGGTTGACAATTGAATGGGTAAGCTAGAAGGAGAGGAAAGCAAATACAATTTTTATCACTCCAGAAGGAAAAAAAAAAAAGAAAGCGTGCGAAATGGCTGGGGTTATCAAAATTATAAGGACTAAGATGCTATTTTTTGCTAGATGCTATTTTGCAATGTTGCGTCACGGTCGACCACAACAGAAACTAAAAACGTCCACTCACGTGTTCTCTTGTACAAGTTATTCATGTGTGTTGCAGCTGCTGCGGGCTGGGCGGGAGCTTGGGTAGGAGAAGCAACTTTCTGTTGCACAGAGGGGACTGGGGAGGGAAATGGAGCTTGCGGTCCACTCTCGCTTGTGGACGGGAACCCTGCCGCCACTGAGGAAAGAATACAAGATAAATTGTTTAACGGTGCAAAAACGTAAGAACTGGTAGCATGAACATAAGTCTGAGTGACTCATGTTCGATAAGAACCAACACGCAAAACACTCGGAACTAACAGAGTTCGACGCAATCGCCAAGGATTCTTAAAAAAATCTCTTGTCTAGGATTTTCCTGTTTCATATTTTGAACATCAACTTGTATCTTGAAATTCCAGTGATCTCCTGAGTAAATTGTGATAAAAATCCCAAGACCAGTCAAGGCAAAGTAACTTGAAAAAAAACAATTGCACCATCTTACCGTTACAAATAATCTTGGTCACTTTCTCAGCTTCAGCTGGAGACTGGAGATCGTTAACCCGTACAGCATACTTAGGCTCCGTTGTCATTGTAGAAAGTTCTGATTCAGCGATGCTTGGGCTGCCTATAGCGATCACCTGAAATAAAAAAATAAAAAAACCCAACAATGAAGATTACTGATTTCATGCTTGGAACACAGAAATGGTCAGTAAAAACTGTAGCAATGACGTCATTTCCTCTTTACTCCTTTCCATATTTCTTTACCTTTACACCACTGATTTCCAACTGCTTAGCGAAGGACTTTAGGCTCTTGGCGGCGTTAGTGTTGTGATCGTTTTGGGGTCCAAGCACCGTCACCACAAGGGCCTTGGGGAGATGGGTCCTCACACCGTTAGACTTTGTGAACACCTCGAATTTAGCCATTTCCAACAAAATGACCTGAAAATTGATCGCAAATCCTTATTTCAATAAAAAATGCTTTATGCCTTGAAAGACAGCATCCCAAATTAAAAAGGCATGCGATGACAAAGAAAGGTATCCTTCACATGTTTTATAGTGGGCTCTCTTTGCTATTCACATCATCGAGGCAGCAACCTTGACTTACCAGATTTCTATTACCAGGATCACGTGGCAGGTCATCAAAAGCCTTATCAACCTCTCCTTTCACATTCCGCTCTCCAAGTTTCAAGTTGATTGAAGGTATAGTGGAATAAGCGACCAAGGCTGCATGGGTCCCGCTCTCCTGTACATTAAAACCATCAGCAACTTTCTTCATGAAGTCTTTCTGTTGAGTCCACTGGACAGGAGTAACGTCCGTGGATGAGTCCAAAGCAAACACGATATCCATAGCATATGGACAAACTGTTAGAAACAAAATAAAAATGCGATCTTAACATGGATTTGTTTCAGGAAGACCAACCACGTGACTACCATATGAGGTCTGCACAACACTTTAACCTCTACTGGACCCTGAATGTAATCACAGTCGCCAGCTGAGGCATATTTCACTAAGTGATTTTTTTCCACAGAGAAACATTCAGACTATGGCGTCTTTTAACCCATAGTTTGCATCTAAATTCTGGTAAACAGAGTACCCATTTTCTCGTCACTATTTAAGTAAAAGATGTGTTTAAGCTAAGTTTGTGAGGATACGATTATCCATTGAGTATCACCCGTTGACACATGTATATACATTACTTACCAAATGGCTGAGTGCTTGCAGGGCTCTGTGGGGTAACACTTTGGGCAGCGCTCTCAGCCGATTGCAAAGGCGCACTTGGCTGTGCAGGCGCAGGAGGAGATCCAGCTGTTACTTGCAGTGCGGCAGGCGGAGTGGTAGGAGAAGCGACAGCAGGCACCGCTTGGACAGCAGAAACATTCTGAGCAGGTGCACTCGTGCCTTGCGCCGCTGGAGCCACAGTGCCATTGTATACTGGTGCTGCTGGAGCCTGGGCAGGTTGTGGTTGAGCCTGCGGGATTGTGGCGTTTGCTCCAGCTTCTGCCCCAACTTGAACAGGAGCTGCCGGAGCGCTCGGTAACTGAGGTACCGAAGTCGGTGTCAAAGATTCGTTTGTTGGTGGAAGAACAGAGGTGACATTCTGCGGAGGAACTGTAACGTTTGAATACGTAGGCTCAGGCTGTTGCGGATACACCGGCTGTGATGTCGTGACATTAGAATACACCCCCTGGGGAACACCCTGCGGGGACTGAGGGCCGACTTCAGGAGCACTTTCGTTACCGTTACCCTCTTGAGGCTGCTGAGGTGTTGCTGTAGCGTTGGAATAAACTGGTTGTTGCACTCCTGAAACTGGATTGACAGGTTGCTGAGGTGGTATAGCTTGACTCATCGTCGCTGGTTGTTGTGTAGGTGTAGCATTTGCGTAAACAGTTTGAGGGGGTTGCGCTGCTGCAGGAACCTGTCCAGCGGGTTGTTGAGGCGACGTTACGTTCGAGAAAACCGGCCCAGTCACGTTTGCAATCGGACTCGTTGGAAGCGGAGCGGATGTCACGCCTGTACTTGCAGCCTGGGCGGCAGAGGTAACCTGTTCACTAGGTTGTTGAGCTGAGGTTTCATTTGAGTAAATCTGTTGAGCTGCAACTGTTCCCTGAGCAGCCGGTAACGGCGCTGACGTCGCACCAGCACTTGTAGCTTGTGAATCGGAAGTCACCTGTTCAACAGGTTGCTGAATTGCCGTGGCGTTAGAGACAATCGATTGAGTCACGTTTGTTGCCGAATTAGTTGATGGCGACGCTGCTGTTACACTAAAACTTGCCGCTTGAGGAACAATAGCAACCTGTTCAACAGGTTGCTGGGTCGATGCTGCTTTTGAAGGAACTGGTTGAGCTCCGCTTGTTGCCTGACTAGGTGATGGCGGGGTTGAAGTGACACCCGCAAAAGCCACTTGTGGAACAGAGACCTGTTCAGCAGATTGCTGAGTTGACGCAGGGGCAGAGGTAACTTGCTGCTGTCCTGATGCCGCGTTCATGGAGAATCCTTTAGTTGGAGCATAACCCTGGCTTGTCTGTTGACCTTGCGTCGGAACAAAGCTATTCATGGTCTGTTGCTGACCGGGTGTTACAGGCATTGAGGTCACTCCTTGATATGTTGCTGGATAAGAACCGACGTGGAAGACTGGCACCCGGTGAAATGCGTGACCAGTGCGTTGTTTTTCGGTGACAATTTGATCAAGTAGGAAGTCTGGAGCTACAAAAACAACAAACGAAAATATATGAATTTTACAAAATTCTCAGAGGCTCACACAATGTAACTACAAAATATTTGTGCTTTGGGCAAGTTACAAGTAGCGCAATAACGGTAAAATCCTTAACAGGAGGGATATCTTGCGCAACTCTTATGAAACATTATACTACAACTGTGTATGAGCAATATATGAAAACTTGCGCACAACAACTTGAAGATTACATTTCTTACCTTTACACGCGCTTTTGACAACCTTCCCTGCTATTGTGATTAGATTGTTGTACGAATCCACAGAAAATGTGTGGTTTGCGTCTGCGATCTTTAACAACTCGTCACGCTGGACACCAGACCCCACTCCTATAGCTACTGGGGTCACACCACCAAACTTCAACCGGTGTACAATCCCAGCAATCTTTGCGTTATCTATCTCATCAGACAGCAGCACCACAAGTGCCCTCGTAACCTGATCACGTGACCCTCCCGCGGGAGTAAACAGCTCGTAATTGGCTATTTCCAGAGCGTCATCTAATCTCGATCCTTGGTCGCTCTTAGCTTCCGGGTAAATGTTATCAATAGCGTTCAGCACGTCAGACTGGTAAAAGTAACGGTTGAATTTCATCTCCATGGTGGCCTGCGACGAGTAGGACAAGACGCCCACGTGGGTACCAGGGTAAGAAATGTTGAACGCGTTTGCCACGCCTTTGGCAAAGTTCTGCACCTCTCGCCATTCCGTGTCGTTTATTTTGGAGGAAACGGGGAGAACGAAAGCGAGGTCTGTTGCCAGCTGGCAAGCTGAGATGAAAGAAAAGAATATAAAAATCAGTTTGCCATTACAGCATAAGGCGGATTTGAGGAAAAATTATATCCAAAAGTGAGTGAAAAACTTACAAGGACAATCCTGAATCTTGCATTTTCGTGTCTCGGTACCAGTTCCTCTACAGTTCGCTCCGGTTAGACATTTCCGTGTTCTCAAACTGACGCCTGTGCCACAAGTCTTCATACAAGGACTCCATTCAGTCCACGAGCCCCAACGAGCTGAAGCGGAAAAGAAGCACATCAACTTGATTATGATAAAGTGATTAGATTAAACCAGCAGCTTTGTAATCAACCTCTATATGCATCAGTCGACAAGATTAGATAAAATACTTACGTGGAGGAGGAGGTGGCTTGGCTGAAATACAGAAAAAAAAAGAAAAAACAGAAAATCGTCCTGTTAGTCCCTTTATGAAATTACTATTCCAATTTTCTTGTTTCAAAATTAATCAGCTTTCAGCCGAAAATCATGGAATGCAGCCGCGCGCGAAACGATGCAAACAAACAGATCTAAAGGAGCGAATATCAATTGAATGTCGAAAGTAACATGAAAATGTTTTTTTTTTTAACTTTGCTTTGTGATTGGTTCAGAAGACAGGTGCCATCCTCCTAACCAACCAGATGTAAAACTAAAAATTATTGCGACTTGGTCATTTGCCTTTTCCCGCACTTCAAGTAGTTTACTCGGTTTCACTCAGAAATCTCATTGACTATTGACAATTTAATCATTTTTTTTTTATTGGTCGCTGGGTTTTTTTTTCTTATTGCTCACTTTGGTTTTGGTTTTTGACACTCAATTATAAACGGCCCTAATGTGTTGTCAAATTCAGATCATTGACGCTTTTTCAGTTGTCAGGGTTGAAAGAAAGAATCCAAACACAATCACATCATTCGTGCGAATTCCCAAACAAGTGGAGCCGTCAACACGTTGGGAACTCGCCGTTTATTTTTATGTCTCAGACTAGCTATAAATTCGCTCCGAAAAAGGGAAGTAAAATAACCTAAATGCTCACACAAACGCATGAACAATACAAAAACATTCACCTGTACAGACTGCGTCAGCCGCTGATTTGACGTAACCAATGATATCATCATATGACGCAACCAAAAATGCATGATCAGGATCAGACGCAAGCTGCCTCAGTTCGTACTGATCCACTTTGTCTCCCACCCCCAGAGCAACAATCGTGGCACCGTCCATATCCTTGAGTTCGCGTGCGCGTTGCTCGGCGCGCTTCGCCGTGGTGTCAGGCGCGTCTCCACCATCGGTAACAATAACAATCGCTTTGGGCGTAAAGTCACGTGCGCCCGTTTCAGCGGTTATCAATCGATCGCGTGTTAATTTCAGGGCGCGGTCTGTACGCGTGTCACCACGTGGCTGAGACATCGATTGAAGGAAATCGTCCATGCTGTCGTAAATATTTTTGTCCTCGAATCTCAATTCGAGATGTGGTAACGTGGAGTAGGCTAGAATAGACACTTGAGTCTTGTTCGGGGCGAGGCGGAAACCACTGCTGACACCTTTGACGAAGTCTTTCGTTAATTTCCATTGAGAGTCATCCACTGTGCCAGAGGCGTCCAGGACGAATGCAAGGTCTACAGCCTTGTGGCAAACTACAAAGATAAGTAAATATTTTTATTTTCCTTATTCACTCCTTCCCAACTGTTCCTTTCTTTGAGTTAGTAATTGACGTGAAGGGTTGAGCATATATGACGAGTAAGCTTAATTGTCATTTTAAAAACAAAAAGAAGTCAGAAATACTTTGTCACGCACCTGGACAATCCTGAACCTTACAGACTTCAATCTCGCGCGCGGAGCCCACGCACGTGGCTCCTCCTTGACATGTGCGTGTTCTGTCACGCCTTCCACCAGCACCACACGTCTTTGAACAAGCGCTCCAGGCGGACCATTCACTCCAGTAACCTACGGATTAGAAAGAACCATTTCTTAAACTCGATTCAAAAGTCGTCTGAACTATGTGCTTAATTTTCTTGGTGATTATGGTAAAATTAACTCAAGAACGCTGACTAAAAGGAGAAAATTTCAGGAAAGGATTATTCAGAAGCACCTTAACTCCGCCCCACAAGACGGCTAGTTTGTCAACGATATCTTCTTTCAAAGCTAAGCTGAATAACCTTTCGTTAAAATTAACCCTCGTAGACACCGAAGTTCTAGCGACAGTTCTGAATCTGAAAAGTTAAAAACACAATAATGAAATTACCTGGGCAATCATCTTCTTCACAATTGTGAAATTCTCTGGCAGGTCCTTGACAGAATTTTCCGCCATACTCGGGTACGGGATCGTTACACTTGCGCATGCGCTCTTGCCGACCGTTGCCACAAGATACCGAGCAAGGACTCCATGAGCTCCAAGCGGACCAACGACCATTCACTAACAAAGAAGATTTCTTACTCAGTAGAAAACACTCAAACAATTTTTTCCGTTCATATGAGACAATGCTTCCTTTAATGACTCAAAACAACATACGAGAATCATAAATTCATGGAATTTCACTTACATGGGCATGGTGTCATGCGACACTCTGCTGTCTCATGACCCTCTCCTGCGCAAGGTTTTCCGCCATTAGAAGGAGCAGGGTTATCACACGTGCGCGTTCTATGAACTGTGCCATGACCACACGTCGCTGAACAGGTGCTCCAGTTCCCCCATACTCCCCAGTTACCATCAACTGCACAAAGAAAACAACAATAAATATTACGTTGAATTGTAAGCAACTTGGTATGGGCGTTGTGCGGGAATTTCAGTTTACCATGATAAAACACCTTGGCTAACCACAAAAATGGTAACAACAGGAATAACACATAAAAACCGCAATATCTCAGCTTGTAAGAGAATCAGGAACATTGTAGAGTCATTTTCACGATACATTTTTGTATATCCTTTCCATCACTTCCTTTTTGAGCGTGAGGTTCACCGACCATGATCAATCGACCTCTAATAGACTTCATATCTCTAGTTGTAGTAAATGTATAGAAAAGCCATTAAGCGTACTTGCGCATGCCCTCTTCTCACAACTTTCTGCGTCTCTGTCCATTCCAATAAACGAACAGTCCATTCCTCCAAAAGCCGGAGGGGGACTGGTACAGTTCCTTGTTCGGAACCTCTCGCCAGTCCCACAATTGGAAGAACAGTCGCTCCATTCGCTCCATTCTGTGTAATTACCTTGAACAGCTTTGACTTCAAAGGAAAAGAAAATATCAGAACGTGAACAAGCTATCATGTTGGATAACTAGTTTTGGGATTTCATTGACTGACGAATTTAAAGTATAGCTATTAGAAATTGCTAAAAGCAAAGATTTGACACGCAAAATCTTGAGTTTCTCGAAAACCTGAGAAAATAAAGACCACCGCGGCGAGTTAAAAACATTGGAGATAAGATTGTATTGATCAGTACCGTAGGAAATTGTACAAATATCTCGCCTTTAGAGGTAAGCTTCGTTAGGGACTTTTGAGACAAAACATCGGAAAAATTATGAAATTAAGTACAAAAAGCTCCTTAGGTATATATTTGTGTCTTGAAATTCCTAAAGATTTTAATGACTTCCCCATCAAATTTACTCACCATCATCCAAAGAAAACACATAGTTGGAATTTTCCTGTCCGGCGCATTCCAAATTATTTCCCGTACACAGTTTCAACTCATTGTCAACACATCCTAACAGTGGTTTGGGCTGTGTTGGCGCCATGAACAACAGTTGTTCTCCTTCTTGGAAATAAGAGTCACCCGCTCGTTCACCGGACAAACATTCACCATAGTTTTGTAAACCAAACGTTCTGTATCCTTTTCTCTGAGTCTCACGGGCGCATCTGTGAAAAAGAACATACACAACATCTTGTTTACCCGGCCTCCAATCACATTACTTCTAGGACAACATTGTTCTTTCTGATAACTTTTCTGGGACAGGTCTTTGCGTATCTTTCCTGAACTCGAGTCAGATTATGCGGAAGATATTTCCAAAACAATTTCCCGATATGTTTTCATCATCTCAAAGACATTTTTAATTGGGTGCCGAAAGTAATTCCAGAGTGCGTTGGTTTTGGTATACTTCGCTATGTGATTGGTCCAGAAAACTCGCGCCATTCTCTCAACCAATCAGATACAAAACTAAACCCAATTACTAAAGGGGTAAGTTTCTAAAGAAACTGTGGTGCTGCGTCGGTGGGAGAGTATAGCAGGTAATTTAGTGTTAACAACTGGGTTGAAAACGTAAATTAGCCACCGTAAAGGGTAAAAAAGCTGACGTTTCGAGCTCTGACGAAGGGCTAACGCTCGAAACGTCAGCTTTTTTACCCTTTACGGTGGCTAATTTACGTTTTCAACCCAGTTGTTAACACTAAATTACCTGCTAAACCCAGTTACTACTTGGTTAATTGCGTTTTCCCGCGCTTTAGTAAGTTTGGTTGGCTTTACGTAAAATTCTTAAGATATTTTCCTTTATTCTAATTAACAATTGTTTTACGAAACTCAACCGAAAAGCGTTCTAAATCCAAATTCCTTGGACTTCTCGTTGTCTTCCTAGTACGCAGTCGATTTCAAATGTTCATTTACCTCTTACTTCCGTCTTGCGAAGGAAAGTACAAAGAGAGAGCGAAGACATGGGAATTAAACATTTCTTTCCGCCTTGTGAATCATAAAATTATTTTTTCTAGCAGAGAAACACTGGCAGAAACATTATTTACCGGCAGATGGCGTCAGACAGATAATTCGGCCAGTCTTTGAAGTCGATTTTCTCCTGTGGGTCAATGAACAGCTGCTCAGGGAGGGGTCGGTACAAGTTGTGATTATCGCGGTAACAACCCAGAGCCTTGTATGGAATCTCACCTGAAAAATTATCAATATGTACACCCAAAATACGACATCAAATGAGTAAAGGAAAGACATTAACTGGAAATTTAATGGTGAATATCTTGCTCTCACTAATCAGCAATACTCTTTTTAATAGAATCACTACTGCATTTCACACTGATGATCCTCGCAGTACACAGACGGTTGTCTGCAGAATGTAGGACCATCTAGAATTTGTCTCACTCGATCCCTGCGGCCTCGGAGCTCTGTTGGTAGTTGCGCCCTAACTATAGAATCTTTGAGGCACGAGTATGAATCCCGTCGAAGCCTGAAATTATTTTCTTCAATTTCTTTCATTGCAGCTTATTCGCGAGAAATTATTTCTTAAAAATCCAACAACAACAAAAAGAGAAGTCTCGTTCAAATTTGGCGGCTTTAGAATTTTTCTCTGCCCCATACTTGTGCCAAAATAGTCTCTGACTTCTTTGTTGACTTACTTGTTATCTTTACCCAAAGTCGAATTACAGACTTATTGTAAACCCTCTCTACACTTACAGCAGTCCTGTAGCTTGCAAGCTTTCCTCTCCACACTATCCCCTACACAGTCAGGCCCACCATAGGAGGGTGGGGGCGCGGTGCAAGTTCGTCTTCTGGTCGTACTTCCGCTTCCGCATGATCGACTACAGGAAGACCAAACTGACCAGCCGGACCAACCTCCGGGTTCTTAAGGAGAAGAGGAAACAAATGGAATGAAGGTTTTCCTTTTTCCATGATAAAAACATTTAAACCTAAAATTTGATCATCCCATTCTTCTGAATTCACATAAAGCTAAATTCGGTGCACGAGGTTAACTCCATTTTAAGCGTGAGAACGCTGTTGAAGGCGTAGTTAACATGATTGGTCACACGGTTGTATATGATTCCGCACCGCCATGCTATCGTAAGTATTTTATTTTAAGCAGCCACGACAAGAAGTTGCATTTCAAACCACTGATCCGTCAATGATAACTAAAGCATTGATAAAGTCACAAACATTATTTCTGTTATACTTACGTGCACACGGTCGAGTGTTACATACATCTGACTGGACCGAGTCACCCAAATGAGTGCAGTTGAGCCCGCCAAACTCAGGTACAGGGTTGGTACAGGCACGTGATCGTTGTCTATGACCACCGCCACAAGTGACGTCACACTCGGTCCACTTGCCCCAATTGGTGTAGCCGCCGTTAACTAAAACAAGTGAGAATGAAAATTACCCTTAGAGCTCACCTTATACACGAAATCTTTAAATCTTCTATCGAGACTTGGAGCGTCTCAAGTTCTCTTCGCAGAATATCTCGACGAAGTTTTCCTTTTTTTTATCAGACTGTCTAACTCGCGCTTAAAAATTAGAATATGCCATACCTCTCTAAAGTACAGTGCATTTGCTGTTCTTGTTCACAATTCATCGTTCATGTTTACTATATGTTATTTTGCCAATTGAAAATGTACAGTGAAAGCCATGTGGCGCATTAAACTTCCAAGATATGTTCGCTATGCTTTTGCTACGCATTTCCTTGCGTCACGAGGATTTGGCGTTAGATCAAGATAATGATTTCTAGCTAAAACGTATAGATATCATCGAGATACAGTTACATGTAAATCACTTTTGGGAGCAAAAGGGTTACTATCTCAACTTCTCCCGAAAAGTTAACTCAGATAAAGACCCACCCATGCATGGCTGCAGCTTGCAGTATTCTTCCTGCTTCTCTGGCCCTTCGCATGTTTTTCCGGCGTGCGCGGGTGGAGGGTGATCACACCCGCGTGTCCTCGAGCGCTTAGCAGCGCCACACGTAGCTGAACACGCAGTCCAAGGAGACCACAGACCCCATTTACCGTCTACTGGGCAATCAGACAGACTGCAAGGCATGGTCTGTCTGTCTGAACCAGGGCAGTTTTCTCCTCCAAACTTGGGCGGTGGATTGTCACACTTGCGCATGCGTTCGCGCTTGCCTGGTCCACACTTGACAGAGCAGAAACTCCACATGTTCCATGAGCCCCAGTTTCCGTGCACTGAAATGATCGAGAAAAACCGGGTAAGTAAAAGCAGACGATCAAAAGGAATTGCTTTGAGTGTGCCGGGTCGGCTGCCCTGACATTGTGTATCTTCTTTCTTCGCTTTGCTCCGAGTTTTAAATGCAATGAAATATTACTGGAAAACTCATTTTGTCGGTAGACTAGCATAAAGGAAAGCATACTTCCTTAGGAAAATTATGATACCTGGACAGGACTGTGGATTACAATGAACTTTCTCGATTGCCGACCCAATCTCTTTACAATCTCTGCCGTTGTAGCGGGGACTGGGGTTGATGCATTCACGTTTCCTCGTTTTGATGCCGCCGCTACATGATCTGCTGCACTCGGACCAATCTGACCATTCAGAGTAATTTCCATTGATTGCTGAAAAAAAGAAAAAAAACCCTCAGTTTTAACAAGGTGCCATGGTACACTGCCCAACGTCGAAATACTTCTGGTACTCAACGAAACGTTGTGTTGATATGTATATGTTCTTTGTTGCGTGCGTTGCTCTAGGACAAAATGGACCAAAACAGCATCTTGCACAATTGTTAAGCCTATCACAGTTTTCGTGTCACGCCACAAAGCACCAACAAGCCAGTAAACAAGTCACAGTGTTTTAAAATCGTATAACCTTTTTGGTAAAGCTCGAAAAAAAAAATTGTAGAGCAACTGGATACCCTTACTTTAATAGCCATTATGTTTGAAAAGAATCAAACTTTTCTCTTCAGATATCTCTGAAAGTTTCTATTTTGGTTCACTTATTTTGCGATACAGTGGTTTTTTTCTTATACTTTCCTTTGATGTTTTGCGCGAGAAATAGGCATATGGCCAGCTAAAATTGATCCCCTCGCGCATGCCCGACGTTTGACCGCTGTGTTCAAAGTACCGTAAGACTCTACTTACGACATCTCCTCACTGTACAAGGCTTTACTTCAACCTCATCTCCCTCACAAGAGTAACCACCATTACTTGGTTCAGGATTCTTACAGACACGAGTCCTCAATTGAAGTCCATCCCCGCAGGTTGCTGAGCATGCTTGCCATGCACTCCACGCTGACCAGCTGCCGTTTACTGCATTAAAAAAAGTATTGTGACAATTTCAGAAATATCACCGTAGATAAGAAAACGTGTGCAATAGTTCGTGAAACACGTATACGGCTTTTTTTCGGGGAGGTTTCAGAGCAGACTCTGCCAATGGGAAATTCTAACGCGAAGATGAAAGTTACAATTGCTTTTGCACTTTCAAGCAAATAAACTTGCTACAGTTGACTATAAACCTTGTTACCAAAAACAAAGCTATTAAAATTTATCCTTAATCTTAACTCGTGCGCTAATTGACTCGTTCAAACTTACCAGGGCATTCTCCTTGGTTACAAGACAACTTCTGTTTTGCCGGTCCTAGGCACACTTGGCCACCGTTAGCCGGGGCGGGACTGTCACAGAGTCTGCTCCTCTCTTGAAAACCTTTGCCACACGACTTTGAGCACACGGTCCAGTTGCTCCACGCGCCCCAGGCGCCATCAACTAAAAATACAAACAGGAGTTAACTTGGAAATCTGTCATTTTTCATGCAGTTATCTGAGACATCTGAGGAAAAACTGCTTTCCTCTAAAGGAGAGAAAATAAAAATCGGAGAAAAACTCCAAATAAAGGACGAATAACGGTAAAATAAAATTAGAGATTTCAAGTGGTCCAAAAATGCCCTCTGTTTTGCGTTGGTTTTGTTTTATCCTTGTATAAGAAGCGAGCAGCAGTTGGAGGGCATGACAAAGCGAGAGTAAAGAAAACGCTAGGCAAACTCTCCAAGTTCATATTCCGACAAATGTCTGGGATGAAAGAAAAGAGAATAAAAATGTCTTCGCCGAAACTGGGAACAAAAAAAGAACTCATCACGGCAAACCACACTCTCTTTACATTCATGACCTCGGTTTTATGACGTAAAGAAATTCGAATTCCTTTAACATAAGCCCATGGAAACAAAAAAAGTTTGTTTATTTCTTGAACCCACACTCTTGAGGTCGTTTTTCCAGAGCACTATCCTTATCAACATTAATAACATGTTCCTTAATGAAAAAATAGAACAAATGAAGAAAGAATTTATCTACCTGGACAAATCTTTTTGGTATTGCAAGGCTCGCTTTCCTGAGGCTCTCCAAGAGCGGAACAGTCCTTGCCACCATACTCAGGGACTGGATTGGTGCAGTTCCTTATTCGCGATCTCACACCGCCAGCACACGATTTAGAGCACAACGTCCAAGGGGACCAAGGACCATAGTTTCCATTCATGGGTTGAACTGTTAAGAAATAGAACATTAAAAAAATTCATTCATTGTTTATTTTGTCTTAAAATTGATTTTGCTGCACACTAAACTTAACCTAAAAAAATGGCTATACTTTGCTCAGAACCATTTTCACGAAAGCTAGTTAGTCAAATTTGTATTAGATAATTCAGCTTACATTCCCGTCTCCTCATAAAATCATTTAACCCTTTAATCCCTAAGGGTGACTAACATCTAAATTCTCCTTACAGGATCACCCCTGAATCACACATTAGGGTCACGAGAATAAATGAAATGATCACCAACTAAAGAATATCTTAATTGTTAAACAGATTCTTCTTGTCAGAACCTTAGGAAATGTACAGAGAGCAGTGTGGAGAATATGCATACAGATGTTAGGGTGTACAGGATTATAAGCGAAAAAGTGCATCACCGAAGAATTCTGCGTTCTTACCCTAAATGAAAATAACTCAAGTGAGGATAACGATAAAAGTTTCGTTTCAACACGTTTTGCTTTCCATTTAAGAAAAATTAATTAATCTCGTGACATTTCAAGGAGAAGAGCTCCTAACATTTTTGCGAGAAATTGAGTTTCTTTCATCTAAATTTCACTCGATAATTGAGGTCCTTACCGTTCAAAAATGCGTAAACAAAGTTGCTTTTCTCCTGTCCAACGCACTGCGCGTTTCCACCGCGGCATCTCTCAAAGTTGTCTCCAACACAGCCGACCCACGGCTTAGGTTCGGGTCTTTGAGTGAATCTGTTCTCGACCCCGTCCCGAGAATACGTTTTAGCAGAGTTAGGTCCTGACCAGCATTCACCATAACCTTGGATACCAAAGTGAGTGTAGTTCTTCGATGCGGCCGCTTTGGCGCACCTAGAAAAAATTATGTCACAGTAAGATCAACATCTAAATTCTGTCTGTCAATCGCAATTCTTCGCTGTGGATGGTGAGTGATAAATATATAGGAAACGATCAATTAGGGAAATTCATAGTAATGTAAAGTCCTCATAACTGATTTTAAAGTGATATGTCACATTTAAGTCTGTATTCCCACAAGTCACAGTTTGGTGGGGATTTTAAGAATTCCGTTAAATCTGAATTCATATTACGCTAAACACTGAAGTAGATTTTGATTTTTGTGATCTCTTGACTGTATTACGTACTGAGCTTAAACTGAGGCCCAAGATTTCTTGATCAATAACTGGGAAAAGTAAACCAAAGCCAATACACTGTAAGTTTATTTTCGACGCTAAATTGACAATTACACTATCATTGTCAACAAAAAGGAGAGACGAGTCACTAACCTACACACCAGCTCTGGCATATACGCTTCCCAATCGTCAGACTGCACGTTAATACCGCTGTACAAGGTGCTCTGAGGATCATTGTCCGTGAAAACAAGCTCGGGGAGGGGTCGGACAGACAATTTGTTATCCACAAAGCAACCCAATGGCCTCATGGGTACATCACCTGCAGAAACGAATGGCAATTCATAGCACAAATTTTAAATATGTTCTTGTTTTAATTCCTGAGATACAAGTTAAAACAGTCACGCCTCGGAACACAGGAAAAACTTACAGCATTCTCCCGCTTTACAGTCAATTGTTTGCGTATTCTGTCCAATACAATCTCTTCCGTCTTTGGATGGAGTTGGATTATCACATGACCTCACGCGCATTCTCACACCGACACCACAGGATTTAGTACAGGCAGTCCAAGATGACCACTCGCCCCAGTTTCCGTCGACTGCAAAATTGAAACAGGTAATTGAATAAAAACAATTTTTCAAGTAACCCATCAAGGTTATACAAAAATGTCATATGAACTTAGAATTTCCGCATGCCGCTTTCATAATAAGACCCCTCTCAAGAATGAGATATTAAACGAAAATATAATAAGAAAGCATCGCTTTTTCTGTCATGGATCAAATACATACCTACGCTCACCCTGTCTTGAACAACGACTTCCAAGGTGCAACAGCATAGTCAAACGTTTAATTTTAAGCCCCATTTTCCAATCGCCTTGAGAGATACGAGTGGTCTCCCACGACTAATAAGACTGACGCAGAACAGTTACTTACCAGGACAATAATCCTTCACTTGACATGATTTTCGTTCAGTATCTGGACCGAACAAGGAGCAATCTCTGCCGCCAAACTTAGGAGCTGGGTTTGAGCATGCGCGCCATCGCGTCATGATTCCCGTTCCACAAGTTTTGTCGCACACAGTCCAGTCTGTCCACTCGGTGTAATTACCATCAACTGATGGTAAGAAAAAGGAAAAAATTGTTTATTAACAAAAACAAGTTATCTTGGAAGGTTATCCTTAATTATAACATACAGAAACTATTTTGACATGTAGAACCATCTACAGAGAGAAAATCAGACGGACGAACACAGGGGGTGTATTTCTGAAGAAACTGTGGTGCTAGGTGGGTGAATTTCTTTTTTTTAATTTAATTGTATCAACTGAGTTGATGACGTAAATTTGCCACCGTTAAGAGTTTCTAAAGCTGACGTTTCCAACGTAAGTCCTTCGTCAAAGCAAATAGAAGAATTACGGGTCTGGGAGGTTTATGCATTCAAGGATGGAGCGACACTATTAGAGGGAACACAATAAAGTGAAAACACAAGAATAAACTACTTAAATGAAAAGCGATCGTAGATACTATGTGAATTAAGGATTCCGATTTGAAACATGAATTTTTGTTCTGTAGTTTTTCAGATTCCCGAATTGCCTAGATGTGGGGAAAGACCGCAGACAGCCATCGGTTTAACAGCCGCGTAAGCAGAAAGACAGCGTGATAAAAAGACAGTAAAACAAGAGAAAATGTTGGCCAAAAATGCCGCAAAGGAAGAATTAAAAAACAAGTAGTGCAACAACCACAAAGGTGAATTAACCTGATTTCACGATTTCGGCTACGCTGTTTTTAAAAATTTTTAATTCCACTCAGCATTTTCTTACCTGGGCAGGGTCGGTAGCTGCAGTCACCAACTTGTTTCTCGGCGCCGCGACAAGGTTCACCGCCATTTTTAGGAGGTGGACTGTTGCATGACCGCTTCCTCTCCCTAGTCCCCGGGCCGCAGCTGGTTGTGCACGCTGACCACAATGACCACGGACCCCAAACACCATTTACTGAACAGAAAACGCTCGTGTCAGCAAAACAAATTGCATCAGGATAATTGTACCATAAACTTAACTTTACTTAATGCTAAACAAAAGGAAACGAAAACGACACATTTCAAATATATCAATACAATGCTCCAGATTACCAATACGGTGCCAAAAAAATTTCGGCGCGAAAAGTTTGGAACGTGAAAAAGATCATTACTACTCACCTGGACATTCTCCCAGATTGCATTTCGTGGCTTCGGTATTAGGTCCCAAGTCCCTCTCTTTACATGTGAGCCCACCATATTCTGGTTCCGGGTTGATGCATGTGCGCGTGCGTTTTTTGACTCCAGGCCCACACGTGGCTGAACAAGAGCCCCAGTTGGACCAAGCAGAGTAATTTCCATGAACTAAAAGGAAACAAAAACGGTCGTAAATCACTGCGGAGATTTTCATCATCAGAAAAACCAAAGCCTATGCTACCAATTAATTCCTCCATAGCGCCTTATGAAAGAAGGAAAATGCCAAGTTTGATTAAAAATCGCACCTATTTCATCTTCTCGTTTTCGTTTTCTAAGTCTTTGCAAATAACTCTAAGTGTGTAATCACACTGCAACTTACTAGGACACTGAATAACTTGGCAAGGTCGAATATGTTCCGGATCTCCAAGGTCCGTGCAGTCCCGTCCACCATGTTGTGGTTCTGGATCTGTACAGGTTCGTTTTCTTGTTTGAATACCGTAACCACAGGTCTTGGAGCAGGCGGACCACTGAGACCAAGGACTGTACTTACCATCAACTACATAAAGCAAATGAAACATAGTTGAGACGGAAGAAGAATTGAATTCAACGAAAGCCTCATAAAAACATAAGAAATCTTGTCAGTCAGTCTTGCCGGTCGCATTTGTGAGCTGTTACTCATATAATCTAATAGGCACTCACCGGGACAGTTCACATCATAACACTGGACAATCTCCTCCCCAGATCCCAAGTGTCCACAGGCGACACCACCATATGCTGGCTCAGGATTGGTGCAGAATCTCTGCCTCTTTTTGATGCCACGGCCACATGTGACCGAACATGGTGACCAGCCGTTCCATTCAGTATAACCACCATTCACTATACGGGTAACAAAAAAAAGGACTTTGTTAAATATGCAATTCAACTAAGATTCTGACAGCTCTGGAATAAGTGATACAACATGTAGATTAACCTCATCCAAAGTTGTTATTGGTAATTCCGGTATAAAACTGAGTAATAATCTGATTTTATTTACGTATATTTGCTATAAGTATATAAGTAAACAGTGGATAGCGTTGAAGACGCGCTCTGATTCGAAAATATTGTAATCGTTGCAGGAATAAACGAGTTACTGAAATCATCTTTTTGTGCTATATTATCTCGCTATTTCAGTATATACTAAAACAGCTATTCACCTCAGTGTCGGTGGATATTTACCGGCTGCCGACCGTTATTAATTAACGAGCATTTTACAGCTACTGCCAGATAATACAATTCACTTTCAACCTGGACCCGAAATTCATTGTCTTTTTTATACGTGAAAAAATTTCAGCTTAAATGTCCTTCACGAAACAAATTATAAGTGGTGAGTGCTTAGGCCGTGTTTTCTCCTATTAAAATGGAAAAAACAAAAAACCGGTGTGTTTACTCCTCCTCTGCGTTCAATGTTGTTCCAATACTTTTGAACTCATGTAATGTTGTTCCAATACTTTTGAATGCGTTATTGTTGATAAATACCTGGACATGGCGTCAGATAACATTGAGTTATCTCCATACCCGGTCCAAGGGCCTGCTCAGTGCACGATTTCCCACCAAACTGTGGTTTGGGTGACATGCACGAGCGAGTTCTGTTCTTCTTTCCGATTCCACACGTGACTGAACACGGTGACCATGGTGACCAATCACTGTATTTTCCGTCAACTGTCAAGTATACGAATAATCATTAAGTTATTGAGTTAACAAATTACTTTTCCTTAAAATAAACGTGTTGAGAAATTCTGCACTGCAAACCATTTTTTACAACTGGGAAAAAAGTGAAAAGGCACTCTTTTACCAGTGCAGAGATCTGTCGGTATATAGAACGCTGAGAGTGGCAAAGTCAGAAAATCTTTGTTGGCCAATTTACATTACAACTCAGTTGATAAAACCAAAGTATCTCGTATTATTCCCGCCGACGCGGCAACTTTCTAGAAACTTAACCCCTTAACTCTAAGGATAAAAGATGATTTTTATTGCAGATTTTTACTTCAACTGTTAAAATAAAAGTTCCTTTTATCTCAACAGATTCTGTTTCTCTGTATCAGTCGTAGCCATAAATTCGCTTTATCTACTTCACCTTGATTTCAAGTACCTGACGTAAATTATTATTATTTCCTATTATTAATTCTGTGTCAGTCGTAGCCTTAAATTCACTTTAACTACTTCACCTTGATTTCAAGTACCTGACGTAAATTATTATTATTTCCTATAGTAAGGTATTTCGTAGGTTTGAATACTTACTTGGACATGGTTCTGACCGGCACAGTCGGCTCTCCTTCTTATCATTCTCACATGACATCTCCTTCTGGTATTTGGGTGGTGAGCAGTCCCTCTGGCGATGTTGCACGCCTCCTCCGCACGTGAATGAACAATCACTCCATTCAGTCCACGCTCCGCACGTGCAGTTGGCTAAACGAAGAAAACAAACATGTCAGATAGTGGATTTGGAGGCAAGTGCAGTGACAGCATAATTTCTTCGCAGTATGCTGCAATATAAATTTACGCTTGGTTGTATGCATTCCTGGTGAACTACAGAATAGCAGCAAATGAAATTCAACGACAGTCCTAACACATTGTTGAGGGTGTGCCTTTGCAATGTTTTTATATGTGAATAGGTATGGATATGTTTTACATATTAGTTTCCATTTTACTCCCTGGCAAAGCCAGCGGGGAACTAATGACATTGAAGTAGGTCAGAAGCATATAGCTGACTGTATCAATGTTCGTATTCATTTCTGATTAGCACAAGACACGCATTGTATATGTATGCCTCTTCCCAACATCCAACCCCCTCCATCGTCTTCATGGTTTACACGTCTGTTGGAATTACCGTCACCGAGCGCAGTAAAAAAAGTGATTTTTTAAACAAAAAGATCCATTGGAAGCCCCGTCTTTCTGTTTTGAAATGCTTCTCGTTTTTGTCCAGGGACGGGGTAGTGGGCAGTTTACAAAAGGGCTGTTATCATCTAAGTCAAGTGAAGATTTTCGGTAAAACAAATGTGTCGAATTGTAGTGTGCTCAAAGAAGCGAGCGACTCAAAGGTGTTCGTTACCTCGGCAGTCCACCAGCTGACAGCTTGTTTTCTCGTGATCCGGTCCCAGCCAAGCGCAGTCTTTTCCGCCCACTGTAGGATGAGGATTGGTACAGAACCTCTTCCTGGTCATGATGCCTTGACCACAAGTCACCGAACACGGCGTCCATAGAGTCCATTCACTGTAATTACCGTTAACTGCAGAAAGAAAGTTTCAAATCCGTTAGCTAAGATCGCTGGATAGTTTTAGAAGTTGTAGAAGCTCTAGCTCTTACCGGGACATGCGTTCAAGTTGCACAGCTCAGTCTCTTTCTCGGGTCCAAGGGGGGTGCAGTCCGAGCCACCAAACTGAGGAGGGGGGTTAGTACATGACCGAGACCTGACCCGACTACCACCCCCACATGTTCGATCGCATTCACTCCACAAGCTCCATGTTCCATACATGCCATTGACTGCAAGAAGACAAAGATGAAAATTTTTAGTTTTAATGAGGTCACCAAAAGACGACGCGTGTTACAATTTAAGGAAAATAAGTATAAGAATTAGACACATACCTGGGCAGGGCTCACTGTGACAGCTGTCACTCTCCATAGCTGGTCCAATCAGAGAGCAGTCTCTCCCTCCGTGCATGGGAGTTGGATTAGTGCAGTTTCTATGCCTGTATTTCACACCGCCACCACAAGACATCGAACACGTGGTCCATGCTGACCAATCGTTATAACTTCCGTCCACTTAAAGAGGAAAAAAAATTAGCAATGGTTCAACTTTATTGAAAACTGATAAATCAAAGCGATTAAGAAAACCGAAGGCATGGCTACTTACGCGGACACGATCTCTCAAAACAGTGGCTGCGTTCTTCGCTAGGCCCCAGTCCTAACTCATAGCAATCTTTGCCGCCATTGGAGGGAACAGGATTGTTGCATGCTCTGATTCTCTTTTTGAACCCGCGTCCGCACGTCTTACTGCACACACTCCAACTGGACCAACCACTGTAAGCACCGTTTACTGAAAGAGTTCGAATTTATCAATGAGCTAATAGAATCAGGTAAGTCTCTGTCCAGAAGTGACTTCCATAGTCGTCGTAAGCCTAAGCAAGTAGAAAGTTTCTGTGGCTAGAGGTGACATGAGATTTGCTTCTTTTCATGCATGGGATGTGAGTCCATCAAAGGTTACTTTCAAGCAGTCTAGCAACATTTGCTAGATGTTCATCAGTGCATGTAAGCCCCCTTGATCCTGAGTTAACAGAATGTTGGTGAGTAAAAACATGTGTGGAAGATGTGAAGAGAAATTGTCCTTAGAGGAAATTAGCTGTTTTTAAGACTCTTCGACGCAGTCTCCTTCGCTCCTGTAGTTTACTCTCGTCACGCTAGCTTACACTTGCGTTACGGGTAAGATAACGCGTTGCGTGACCAGACTAAACAACAGCTGCGAAGAAAAGTACTCAGACAAGGCTCTACTATAAAAGAGTATTAGATAGTATTCGTAACAAACTAATGCCGCTATTCAGATGGTGTTCGGTAACAAACCTACGTCGTTATTCAGCAGTCAAGCCAAAATTGTTTATTTACCCAAACAGTCCTGTTGTTTGCAAGGTTGGATCTCAATATTGGGTCCTATATCAGAGCAGTCTCTACCACCGTGGAGCGGAGATGGGTTGGTACAGGAGCGAGTCCGTGTTGTGGTTCCCTCGCCACAGGTCGCGGAGCAAGCGGTCCAGTTGGACCAATGCGTGTAGTTACCGTCAACTGCGAAGGAAAAAAAAGTCAGTTGGTGTTTTCATTATTTAGCATACTACTATATCCATTGAAAGGTGAAACAAGCATAAACTATTTGAAGCTTAAACTATTTGAAATCGCTTGCTATGGAATAAAATAGTTCATTAAACAATAATTACTAACTCAGAAGATAGGACAATATTAGCCAAGAGGTTTTGCAAAACAGGAAGATGAAAAAGGACCCAAGAACGAATGGAGACAAAAACTACGTGGCTAATGCGAGCACTGTTAAGAGAGAATGTCACATAGGAACTTATAGTATGAACTGGATCTTGGCACGACCCTCTAACAAATTAGTCATAGAGTTTCCATAAACTGAGCGGAGAACAGTCGTTCGCGAGGATTAAAATATTTATGTTGTTCCGCGCTCGTGACAAAACAAACTCAAATTGTTTTTAAAAAGGGAACGCTTTATTTGACATCAGCTCTCAAATAACTTGTAACATTATTGTACCTGGACAGTCCACAAGATAACACTGAGTACTCTGCACAGGTCGACCCAGTCTTGAGCAGTCGAATCCACCACTCGACGGAGGAGGATTAGTGCACATTCGACTACGAACCATGAATCCAGGCCCACAGGAATGTGAACAAGTCGACCATTCACCCCATTCGGAATAATTGCCATTAACTGACGAGGAAAATATCGACGAAGATTTATAATCACACATCTGAAGGAGTCCCACTTAAGACCAAACCTAATTCCCGTTTGCATTGGACTTCACTGCAATAGAGCGCTTTTCGACTGAGCAAGGAAATATCACGAGGAGCCAATGAGAAGTCGAAGGCAATATGCCTAAAGCGCAGAAAACGCGAGTACCCAAGTCGCAATTGGTTTTAGTTTTGAGTCTGATGGTTGAGAAAAGTTGCATAATTTGTCTGGATCTATAACGGACCGAAGTAAAGCAATAACAAAGCAATCCACGATTACCTTCAACTCTCATTTGAGAGTTGCGTTATGCGCCGAGCGAAAAACAACTCGCGCTTGCTTTTCAACCAATAAAAAATATAATAAATATCATTGGAGATTTAGTAAATCCCGTTTTCCCGCCCTTAGTGCAGATAATCTGCGCTCTCTCATTGGCTCTTTTTGCAGATGTCTTTCGCAGTGATCAGCAACTAGATTTGTGACCCCAAGTGGAAACTGCTCTAACGTTGAAAGCAAGAAATTAAGAAAAAAAGTACAATTTTCTGAATTGCTCAGTTTATACCAACCTCCGCATTGCCGCATGTAGCAATGTTTGGCCTCATTTGGCAGACCCAGGCCCTGCTCTTCACATGACTTCCCGCCAAACTGAGGCATCGGGTTAGTGCATGTTCTGTTACGGGCCTTGACGCCGACACCACATGTAGTAGAACATGACGTCCATTCTGACCAGTCAGTATAGTTACCATTTACTGCAGAGGAAACATAGATTATCAGTCATCATAAACGAACTCGCATTCAGGCGGAATTATCAATTCCTTCAAAATGGAGAGTGACCAAAAAACGACTTCTCCCAACAATTTCAATACATTTTCAACCAGAATGTTAATGAGAAGAACGAAAACATCAACCAGGGGATGCAGTTTTAAATTATTGAGAGGACTCTGTTACTCATTTACTTCACCATGTTTGTTACGGTACGGAACACTGCGTAGGGCTTGGTGAAAAAGATCGTACAAAGAAAAGCAACAAAGAAATCTGGAAAAGGGGTAAATTTCTTAAGAAACTGTGGTGCTGCGTCGGTGGGAGAGTATAACAAGGTAATTTAGTATATATTATCAACTAAGTTGATAACGTAAATTGGCCACCGTTAAGAGTTTCAAGTCTGACGCTTCGAGCGTTTACCCTTCGAACAAAGAAATCTGGCGACTATCCTGGCTGTTCACCCGTACGAACTCTGCCGTAGCAGAGCTGTATTTCGGTCAGTGATTAGAAAATAAAAAAAGGTTACCTGGACAGTGTCGACTGTTGCAAAGCCTCGATTGTACTTTTTCTCCCAAACAGAACAGTTCTCCTTTTGGGTGAATACAGACTCGCTTCCTGAACTGGATACCAGACCCACACGTCCGTGTACAGTCGTTCCAGTTGCTCCAGTTGGTCCAATTTCCGCTTGCTAATCATGTGACAGAACGGAAGCACATTAATATATGCGTCAGAAATAGGCTCATTATCATGGAAATAGAGGATGCGTATCGAATAACGTGTCAGTCGATGCGTACAACTTTCATAAAACACCAGATTCTACGAGCTAGTTAACAAGGAAATTTACAGGAGTTAAAGGAGAGAACTCGTGACTTTTTCTGTGGAGTTAATCGGTTACTGTTGAATGGTACTCACCTGGACATTCAGCCAACAAACAAGAGCGCTGTTCAAACGCTGGTCCCAGGTTTGTACAATCCTTTCCGCCCGCGGAAGGGCTGGGATTGGAGCACGTTCTATGTCTAGATGTCACACCAGGACCACAGGTTCGACTGCAAGCGGTCCACTCGGAAAAGTCTGAGTAACCTCCATCGACTACAAGAAGGTAACAAGGTCCAGTTTAGTAAATACTAAAAGAAACTTTAAGGTTTAGATGCACCAGGGGACAGGTCGCTGCAAAATCTCTCTGAATCAAATCTCCCGTCTGTATATGTATGTCTTCTGAAACAAGTCACAGCGATCAATCTCACAAATTCAAACCATTCTGAATTTGGGCGACTTGTTTTCAAGCGACAATATGCTGTCGTAGGATGGAAGATTATCCATAAAAAACGAAGTAAACTGTCAATGCACACGTCGCAGGGACCAAACACAGCGACTTTTCTGCTGTTAGGTCTCTCAGACTTCAAGCGTTTAGCAGAAAAATCCGGTAGCTGGAATATCTCTTGAACCAGCCTGCTAGCCGACTTTTCTTGTTTTCAAATAAAGAGCCATCCTATCATTTTTTTAAGTGCGAGCTGATTATATTTGGCAGTTCACACGCGCAGTCAAAGGAGCGTTCGAACAATTTGCAATCTTCCAAAATGTAGCTTAAACTGTTTTATAATTTTCTGCATTTTTCTCCATCCTCTTCCACCATTGTTCTTTCTTTGGTCATTGATACATCAAGACTATTTTAATTTCAACTAGTCATGTTTACATTTTTTGTGTTATCACTCAACTTAGCAAGTTTTTGTTTCTATTTTTTTTGTTTTGGACGGTTTTTTTATTTATGGGGGGCGTAAAATGATGACGAGAAATTAAAGGCAACACGAACTTATCTCAAGCGACCTCAAAGACGAAAACGATTGTTTCAAGATTGAATTTTTAACATCACCTTAAGCAATGAAACCTTTCTCACCTTCACACGGACCATCATTACATGATGACACCTCTCTGTCGCTCCCGAACCACGAGCAGTCGTGTCCACCGTGGGCAGGAGGGGGATTGGTGCAGGATCGTGTCCGGTACCTGGTACCCTCCCCACAGGTTTTGTCACACTGTGACCAGCCGGTCCAATCAGTGTAACCGCCATCATCTGGTTGAAAGATGACAAAAATATTCAATCAGGAAACAGTTCTCTCATTTATTAATTTAAAAACTGGGTTCATATCTTCTCACTTACGTGGACACGAAATGAGATTGCAGGCTTTAGACTCCATAGCAGGTCCCAGGCCTACTGTAGCGCAGTCACGGCCACCGTTAGTTGGGGAGGGACTGTTACAGGTTCTGTATCTCTGCGTCAGGCCTCCACCACATGTGACGTCACAATCGGACCAGTCACTCCATACTGAGTACCCACCATCCTCTGCGAACGAAATAAAATAAATTGAAGAGAATTCTAGAAGAAACAAGAACAGTGAACAAGAGAGTTGGCATTCTGTTGTTTGTTTTTTTTTTTTTTTGTTCGATTATTTGTTTGTTTTTCACTATGAGTTTGTTAATAGACATACCTGGACACAAAAGAGCATTGCATTCTCTCGTTTCCAGCGAGGGACCTAGAGAAGAACAGTCCACGCCACCCTGGGTATCCTTAGGGAAGGAACATTTTCGTGTTCTCTCCTGTGTACCTCCACCACAAGTGGCCGAGCACGAGGACCAGTGGGACCAATCTGAGTACACTCCTGTAACGGGAGCTATTGAAAAGCAAAAAAATAAACTCATTGTTATATGCACCTCTTGCGTTAACGCAACAAGTCATGCTATACGTCACACAACATATCATATTATATGTAATGCAACAAGTCACGTCACACGTCAAGTTATAACTGTAAAGCACTTTTTACTTACCTGCAAATGTTGCCGGCATAGGAGTGGTTCCAACTGAAGAGGATTCTTGGAGTTCATCGGAACTAGGAGTCTCTGTGGCTGCACTTGTTCCTTGGGAGTATGCCTGGGTCGCGTGGCTTGTCACATGACCTTCGGTGGCTGAGGTGGCCTTCGAAATAGTATGGGTGCCATTGGTAGCCACAACTCCTCCAGTAGAAGTGAATTTAGTTGTCTTTGGTGATTCTACCGTTTCTCGGCCTTCTCCTGAAAATAAAGTAGCCGCATTTTCAGCCCATGCACAAAAAGAGTTTAGTATCTACAAAGTTTACTTATGATTTGCGCAAGATTTCCTTACCAAGACAATGCCCCCACATTCCATCAATGTCGTAGTTAGACGTGGTAGCACACCAAGGCCTCTTGTTTTCATCGTCTGTACAGCCAAAATACTGGGTTCCATGATAAACGAAAGGGAAAACACAGCAGGCGCCTTTACTTGTTCCACCTTCAGTCTCCACACAACGTGCGTTCAGACCTGTGGATATAGAACCGAGTACTTATTGAGAAAAATGGGCGACTACCTCATGAAATTTCTGATTAACCTTATTATTATTAAGAAATGCTAAGGATTTCATAATTATTCTCCAAACTGCGAGATTCATCACTAATATAATTTTATAACGTTATTCCTCTGCCGTGCATGCACGTTACCCATCAATACTACTTTGGATTTCAAAGCCAGGGTCTTCTCTCCAATTGGAGCAATTGATTGTCAAAAATATTCCGAAATTACGTGAGTTTTGCTCTTCTCCGCACTGTTCCAGAAAACTTGTTCCACCTTCTCAACCAATCACATGCAGAACTTAAAAACCAAGCGCAACTTGGTAACCCACGTTTCTTTCCCGCGCTTTTTCCCCGCGATTTAAAGAATTTTTCTTTCTTTCTTTCTAATCAGCCTTCTGACTGGCTAGTATTTTTCTTTTCCAATTTATCTGACTAGCCACTGTGATGACCTTAGTTTTGGGTTTACGATACTCGATTGGAAAGTGCTCCCGTATGATTTTCATACTTACGTATGAAAATCAAAGAGGTTGTTAGATATCGTACCTTCCTCTACAGGACACTCAGGACAACATTTCCATCGTTTCTTAACCGGATTACGGCAGTTCAATTCAGGACACTCTATCAATGTACAGCGGATTTTACCATCGTCGCATTTGCATTCGGGCGTGCAAGGGCCTGGTGACCAGCGTTCGCCATGCTCGTGTTGTATGCCGTCATAGTAACAATCTGAAAGGAGAGAATAAAAAACCACGATTGAACTTTATTTGCTAAAAAAACACACATATAAAGGTAGCACAGGATATTGTATTCCTTGGCACTGAATTCAAATTCAGCCTCAAAACGTTATTTAGTTATGTATTCATTTTTAATTTTTTGACATATGCACTTCTAAATCTATTATTTGATTTGGCAAAATATTTTTTGAGCATCAAAATGATTTGGAAGATCTTAATCAAAATATAAATTTGCTGAACCATTAATTTATTTTCCAATTTGTAGGATTCTCATGAAAATATTCTTGAGCATTTAAAGTCTTAAACTGTAAACTTGGATTCCAATTTGTTACTTACTTGCTTTATGCAGTGGCCCAAATTGCTGTGTTACGTTAACTGACAAGCAAATAAACAAAAATCAGCATCCACAAACAAGAGATCAAATGTAAAAAAAGACAAATAAACAGAGCAATAACAAAGGCCACTACTCACCAGGGGTGGGTGAGACGGTGGGTGCAGCTAAACCAACTGGAGCAGGGGTTGGAACTACAAACAGATCATAAGTAAGAAGCTCATCAAGCTTGAAATATGATTAATCTGCAACACCTTACCTAACCTCTTTTACAGTTTTAATGTTAGTTTAATGGTTAACAACAATAAGCCAGGTCTGGAGAGTCAGGCATTTCCTCACTCTAGTCCACTAGGGGGGCTTTCCTTCATAGATTGGGACAGGATAAGGAAAAACTCAATCATTGACACTTTATTTGGTTACGGTTACAGTTTCAGTAAGTACCTTTACAGAGCCCACACTTTCTCTTGCAGTTCTTAACCAACCAATCATTATCGCATGCATGCATTGGGTAATCACTACAATCTTCATGATCTTTTGACACACAAGCACCTGTTGAAAGAGGTCTCCTCTATAAGCTAACCAGAAATTACCCACATAATATTTGATTTCATTTAAGCATGAGGTATTAAATATAAACAGAAAAAAAGATTGAGAGATTAGTATGCTTAAAAAGTATTAGTAACATTCAGGATGGCTTTTACATGCAAAATAATTTAGAGTATGTTGTGTTACAAAAGTGATTTTTTAATACTGAATTTCAATTATATGTGCAAGTTACTATTATTTAGATTGTTTTTATCCATTTTGTTTTTAAACCTTAGGAGTTTAATTTAACATTCTAAATAATTAAATATTTTATATTTAATTATTCGTATTAATTTAGCCTTTATTTTCCATAGTTTATGTGAAAAATGGTGAGTTTATATTTTAGTGGTAATTTGACTGATCACCAGCTTGAGAATTCTCACCTTTTGATTCACCTTTTCCTGCGGGTTCTAACCCTAAAAATTGAAACATGCATTTGAAAAGGCAATCCTCTTTTGCAACCAGTTATAAAATGCCTCTTAGAATTCCACAGTTTGCAGTTGTAAAGTAAAATCCTGCAACCATTTGCCTTAAGGCCCTTTTTTTAGGGTATGTCAACTCTTTAGCTAAAATTCATAACAATTCCTGTGGTAATCTTAGAGTTCCGGTAAGGCTATCAGAAAAAGCCCTGTATTTTGACTCTGTAACCTCATATGGTTAATCTTGTTACAGAAAATGTTGTTGTTCATTGTGGTTTTGTAGATAAATGAATGTTTAATTACTTTTCCTACCATCTAGAGTCAAGCTATCAATTGTGTTAATCACGATGTTTCAACTGTTATACTGCTAGTCTTTGGAGCAATGTGGTCAAAGGCAAAGGTGTTGCTATTTATAACACCTTAGTTTGTTATTACTGGTGTGTTTTGGTACACTGTCATTAAGGAATTTTGATCTTTGTTATTGTTTCAACCACTATTTTGTATAGTATAGTCTTAAATACTGTTCAGTGTTAGGTTTGTTGGAGGTAAAGCCATCCGTTCAATTTTTTTCAGAAAAGTCAGTGTATTATTGAAAAAGTTTGTATTAGTCATGACAAGACTTTATATTAACCATTTTAGAACCATACTAGTTTCATTAAAAGCAAATTTACAAACAGCGTTAATAAATTAGCAGATAGAGCCAGCATTAATATTGACTGTAATGGTTCAAGAAGACTCATACATATCACAGCAAAGTTTGTTTACTAATGTCAAGATAATAGAAACAACCAGATGTTGAAGAATAAAAATTGTATGGCCAACAGGATCTGGCCAATTTTAATAATATATCCACCTTATCCACCAAACAGACAGCATTATACAAATGTTAGGAAGGAATTATCCAAATAATGAAGAATAACTTGTCTGGCACATAGTGTCATTCACCCTCAAATATGGTCAAGACTGTGAGCTTTAGAATGTATGGGTAGTCTTGAATTTTTCCCTTCTTTTTTCTTTCTTTTTACTTTTCTTCCCAAAAGCCTCTCACACAACAAGGTAAAGATTCCACCCTTTCAAATTTTCTGTTCATCATCAATTCAGAGACTGAATTCCTCTAATTTCAAGTTTTTTTCCCAAAATATAATTCTCCAATAACCTTGATGACTACAGCATTTAGGAAAAACAAAACCCCACATGTTTTTTGTTTTTGCATTTGTTTGTTTGTTGTTTTGTTTTGTCTTGTTTGCTTTTTGTTTGTTTGTTTGTTTGTTTGTTTTTTTTTGGGGGGGGATTATACTTTGCAGAGATCATCTCTGTTACATAAAATTAATTCATGCCAATGTATCTCCATGAAATTAGATGTATTTAGAAAAGTTACACTTAGAACTGTCGTCCTATATTGCTAACTTGCGATCTGGTATCTGTAAATCACTTTAAAGCTCTAAAGCCAGGATCTTCGCTTTTCAAGGTCGCTGTACACATTCCTGTTTCACGCGCGAATATCTGTCACATTTTCTTTCAACTCCGACTCGCGATCGAAGTCGCTGTCTAAAATTTAAAGCTTTCTAAATAAGACTTCAGTCTCATCAAATCCACCTACCTTCACAAAAACCGCACTTTTTCTTGCAATTCTTTCTCATCCATTCGTTTTCACAGCTTTCTATCGAAAAGCGACTGCATTCCTTATTATCCTTGCAAACAGCTGAAATTAATCATATGCCAAATAGCTTCATTTTATCGTATAGATGACTGCTATCCTTTTAATTCGTCGGTCAACCCATTATTTTCCAGGTTACTTTAAACTCCATGTCGGGGCAAATTTTCTGCGTCTGCCGCTACTTCTCCGAGGCTAAAATTTACGCGCCTTGTCCGCCATATTTGTTGTTAAACCCCAGTCCCCGCTCAAACAGATTCATAAATGTAGGCCTGCAAAGCATATACAAAGTGTGGCCGAAAATATCTTTAATCGTGTACTTACGTCGACAAAACTGGCATTTTCTTGGACAATTAAGTTGAACCCATTCGTCATTACACTGGTTCATGGAGTATCGCGAACATTCACTCTTGTCGTTACACCAGGGTGCTGGAAATAACAAATAAAGCGTCAGCTATACCTAATATTCTTCATTCGCCTCCTTTAACCGATAAGGCCCCTGATGATCGAAGGGTGGACAACGCTATCCAGTGGATAAATCTCTGTCTGGTGGATAGCACAGTAAGTTTTGTTAACACTTACTGGCTGGCTAGTAATATATCTTTTTAAAAGCTTCGTTCCCACTTTTAACAACTGGGGCCATGGATTATATTGTCTAAATGAAGACCCTTACGATTGAGAGAGCTTGCTTCGAAAAACAGAAAAATTTGACGAAATCACACGAGATTAAACAGCTTTAATACCAATCAGATAGCTGCAGAAGAGTCAATGTATGCGTATCTCTATTTAATCGTTAAGAAAAGGCCTTAGTTACCTTCTGGTATTTGAAGAATAGTTGTCCCGTGACTCATTGTTACATTGATATGATTTTTCGCCGGACCTTTTACTTTAATCTTAGCTTTATGTTCGTCTTCAGCTTTAATGTTTGCAGGAAGCTTGACAACAATGGTTTCCACCATGGGTACTTTGTTTGACACCTGGTCCTCCAACGCCGGTTTCCCATTTTCACCTTTAATGTTTACTAAAACAGGCTTTCGTGATGTCTCCAATGATTTTGTGACCTCAGAGGGTACTGTGACAGACAGCTCCGTGTACGGTTTCTCTGTTGCGTTATTTGTTGTGTTATTTGTTGTCACTGCTTGTTGAGGTGTCGTAAGTGTTGAAGTTGTTTCTGTGATACACGAAACAGTAGTTATATCTTTCAGGAAATCCAAGAAGGTTATTGATAGACACAAGATATAATCAAATTGAACAAAGTGGCTTTTATCTGGCATGCGTACTAATGACAAGCGTGTCCCCTGCTTCTAGAGTGGCGTTTCTTTCCAGCTATGCTTTAAATCGCGTTTCTGACAGCAATGTATGTTACTATGGGCAACGCGCGCCAGGGATGACTTTGTACGAGTTTAATTTGAGTGTGTGATGAGAAAACATTGAGGATTTATGGTCGTTCACCGACAACAAAGTTCAGTTTTATTTTCTCTTTCATGGATATGACTTTACCAAGTACAAAGATTCAAAAATTTATGCAGTGCTCACCATTGCCGCATATTTTGCATTTCTTGGGGCAGTTAACTTTCAACCACGCCTCGTTACAGCTGGCCTCTGTATATTTACCACACACAGGGTCGTCATTACACCAAGTTTCTATGGGAACAAGTGATATATACGTTAACAGAACCTCAGAAAAATGTTTGATTATTTTTGGACCTGTGATCACTGAAGAGTATTTTGCCCCCTACTCTAAGGCAAGAGAATACCAGTTGACATTCTCTTGTCTAAAGTTAACATTACTGGATTAAAGTGGGCATCATCTACGATGACAACTTAAAGTTCTCAAATCATCAACAGTGCATAAATTTTCGTAAGTTTCTAAAAACTGGCGATGATTTCCAAGAAGAGAAATGAAGTGGTAGTTGCACCGATTTTCACGACAACCTCACTTAAAAGGAAGATACTGTGGTCACAGAGCAATTTTTCAATCGACTGTCGCAAATAATCTGGAATTGAGTTGGTTTTGCTTTACTTCGCGTTGTGATCGGTCTAGAAAACTCGCGCCATCTTTTTAACCAATCAGATGCAAAACTAAAACCAATCACGACTTGGTCGCCCGCGTTTCTCGTGCTTTGGTTAGCTTGGTTAGTTTGCTTTGAGTTCTCATTGGTTATGAAAGGAATTTTTCTTTGATTGGTTTTTACGATTACTTTGATCGCTTTTGGTTTTACGACACTTGATCGAAAAATGCTCTTTTTCTCACTAGGTACTCTATTTACTCACCGTAAACGTTTGGCTCAGCTGTAGCATTCTGCTCTACGACGGCTGCAGAAAAATAAGTGCAAATTGTAATTTGAGATTGGACCAAATTGCTGTTAAGCAATAAAAAATACCACTACGGAAAAAGTTTGTATGTTGACAATGCGCTATCCATCATAAATATTATCGGCAAACATATAGTTTTTAAACAAACACGCAACCTAAAGTTATGCAAAGACCGATGAAGGGATTGCATAGACTCCTTATCATGTTTGATTTAAGTGAGATGTATGATTTATTGCACCAAATAGGTGGCTGCATTAAAGTCGAAATGAAAGTCAAAATATTCTTCGAACTCTCAACACCGATGATGACCACTTAAGCTCGATATACGAATCTGCAAACCATAACCGTACTCGTAAATTCTTAGAGTCATGTCTCATAAGAAACTTGTTGAAACTGATTTTCTTGTTACGAAGGAAGACAAATGAGTCCCAGACCCTAAAAATTAACTGCAGGATATTCATTTCACAACAGAGCAAAATTTCTCAGGCTAAAAATTTACCCGACCCTCTTCTAATAGCTCCTTTACGTAATGAATCACAAGGCATTTTCTCTTGAATTAAAACATGAATTAAATTGACAAAAAAGCTACATGAGGCGATGGCAATGAAAAAATTATTCTGGAGTCAGAGTTAATTCATAAATGGCCTAATGGTCACATGATATAGCTAGATTTCTTCTTTAAATGGCAAAAACCCAAACAAAAAGTTTATATACCCTCTTAGGGCAAATAATTGGTGTAGATGTTACATTTGCGACAATTAGCTGCACTGGAGAGCTTCTGTAGCTGCAATTTAACTTAGGTCGGAGTAAACAATTGTATTAAGACAATACGGTAGGTTTGTCTCGGTGAAAATGTTCGAAACTCTCAGAAATTTCTACAGTTTCCACGCACCGTCATCAAGTAACGAGCACCCGAATGAAAATCGTAAAATCGGTTAATTTTATAAACGTCTTTCTGAAAACAGTGCAAAATTATCTTAAGACGGCCTAAATCACTACAATGAATACATTTTGCAACCTAAATCTGACCGATCAAGGTCAGAGCTTATTTTTGACTTTCATCCATCACCAGATAAAAACTTACTTTGTGCAAACACCGCTAGCAATGATGCAATAATCACTTGAAGAAATAAATTGAATTTCATGTTTTCCGCCGCTCGCGATTCGTTGTTACCATTTTAGTTCTCACATGGCAAACAGGAAAAGCCTCCACGAGCTTTGCATTCATTAACATTAATGTTCGGATCGGCCGGTTTGTCCATCATCGCATCAACGGCCACCCGCAAATCCTCGCAAAACACTACGAGTCTAACGAGGAACTCTCTATATGAGACAATTGCATGGCCACAGGAATCGCCAGAGTTTACATAGTGTTAACAACTAAGCGCAGTTCAAATATACAACAAATCAAATCTGGGCGCGCTTAAAAATTTATGCTGGGCGGGGAAAATCTGTTTGTTTAGAAAAATTTTGTTTGCCTTGATGAAATTATTCGGAGAAATTTCCAAGGAGTTAGGGCGAAAATTTTGACAGTTTTATCACTTGCCGGTCGCAACACCTATTGAAATGAGTCACGGTCTTTTTTGAGTATCAGACTGCTTTATGTAGGAGAAATGCTGATGATTTAGTTCCAAAATATTTATGCTATTTTTTAAGGGAACAATTCCTCTTAAACTTCAAAGTTAGACGTTCATGATAAAAATAAATTTTGTGTTCATCAACTTTTATCAGTAACTATATTTGTGAAAAAAATTTAAGGACCTTTTTCTGACGTGCAAAGTAGATGGCTGTTTAACCGGATTTTCTGTTTCTATTCTATTAAAATTGCTACTTACGAAGCTGTTGCATGGTCACAGGGACACCAGTACCCGTGTTGTGTCTAAAATCCACGGTGATATTCTGATTTGGAGTCAGCGGAGTTGCTGTGGCTGTCGCGTTGCTGATAATCTTATCCACAATTCCTCCCGCAAAAGGATTCACTACATCAGGACCGCTGGGCATGGGAGGAGCCTGCGTTGGGAGTGATTGCGCAGTACTCGGCTGCGTTAACGTCAAGTTTTGCACAGTCACGTGACTTGGAGTTTCATGCATTACAGGGACCTCAATGGGAACCGCTGGTTCTTTATCGGTTTCAAACGAAATTTTGATGTTTTGGTTTTGCTTCTCGGCTGGAGTTGCTTCCAAGCTTATCCCATTTCCTTCAGCTGTTACAGGAGATGTTTCGTTTCCAAGAAATGAAATTTTAATATTTTCCATATTACCCTCTGGTACTGGTTGTAAGGAGACCTCGTTTACACCTTGCAAAGGCTGGTTTTTCTCGATGAAAGAAATTCGTATTTTTTCTACACCGTTGCTTTCAACTGGTTGTACTGCTGAAGGAATGTCCACAACCCAGTCGGGATTCTTTTTAATTTCTAAAACTTCCATTTCTTCCACTGGCACAAGTTCACTTCCGTTCATAACGAGAAGAGGCTCTGAGGTAGGTTCCATCGTTCCCACGTGAGCTGAAAGCGCTTCTTGTGGGGTCGACGAATCGTAGACACCTATTTCTGAACCCGATGTCGCACCAGCCTGTACCACCGGAAGTATGTTCTCAGACGCTACTGTCTTGTTATATACATTATATAAGGGAGAGCCATTGGTCGGTACACTGACTTCCGGGTAAATTGTCTCATTAGCTATCTCGTTCGTAGCTACGATTGGTGCAGTACCTTCGTATTTTACCTTAGGGTAGGTATAATTATTGCGGCCCAGAACCACCTTGGAAGTGTCCGGAACTGTAGTCGGAGCGTTCTCCCATCCCTTAAGCGGATTTACTGTCGGCTGTGCTGTTGCTCCCAAATAATTTGCAACTTTATCTGTTTCTGGAGTTGCCTCTTCTGCAAGAAAAAAGGATGGTAAACCTCTGTCATAAGAGAAAGTGTCAGGTGAGAGTAAGACATATTTTTTTGTACTATTATGAAGCATTATTTACTTTCCACGACGTTTTGAAACTGTAAGAAGCATACAACTGTGCACAACACTCCCAGTTTTCACCATTACCCATGTACGGTGTATACACCAAACGATACATGCTACCCAGATAGTCAAACTCTGCACTCACCTGTTCCGCAGTGTCCACATAGTTTTGGACAGTTAAGGTTGATCCAGTCATACGAGTCACAGTGAGTCTTTGAGTACATTGCGCATGCGTTTTGGTCAACGCACCACGAATCTAAAAAGAGCAGATCATTTATTCACAAGTTCCATTATACGGTAGAGGTAAAATTGGAACATGGGCCAGATGGCTCATCTTACTGGAGCTAGTTTTTAGAGCATTTGATGATTGAAACTGCTGCTTCTCCTCCTAAGCTTAGTGAGTGCTAGTCCATCGAAGGTTGCCCTTCCCTTACCCGCCACCCAAACTGTACAGATTTCTCGAATTGGTTCTTTCAGTTTTAACTCGTGGATATGCAAAGCGTTAGAACAAGTTATGTGGAGATTTGATATGTCAACCTCTTGAGGGGGTGGGAAAGGCAGGCATCTTATTGAAGATGGCAGACTGATTGTTAAATATGGCGGATAAATTGGGGCAGATTTGCGCGGGGATAACGGGTCAATTCTGTGTCTTGAAATGTCAGTATCATTGGCTGTAAGTGCTACACCACCGGATATTCTAATACGTCTGCAGAGTATATCCACGAGTTTACCATAGTGTCACTTTGATTTAAAGACACCGATGTCAGATAACTACTTTAAAAACTGTGCGTACCGCCATCTTGGATCATAAGCAACTTTATACTTCCCACTGTAATCTGTTTGATCCCCTCCATACTTTTACGAACCTTTGATCGATGATAACTTTAGCAACCCTATTACGTCAAAGCATCTAAAATGGCTCTTACAAGGAAGTTCAATTATTGATGTTGCATGTATTTGTTCTTAGTTTTACACAGTTTGGTCCCTGTTTCCCATCTGCCCCACAAATCTACTTCTTTATGAAATTTTCATAATTTTAACGGTAACTTGCTCCATCAATGGCGTCTTTCTCAAGTAAGTGTATTACAGAACAAAACAGCCTAACAACTACAGCTCGGACAAAAGATCTTAAAGCAAAAAGTTTTGATCCAAAGGCAAGGGCTATAGTTCCGACTTTCACTGTTAGCGTGACTCACTAAAAAGCGTTCTTTTCTATTCAAATATGCTCGATGACAATGATCGTGGAGGTTTCATGCGGACTTGGGATCTTTGCATCTTTTAGATCAAGTTTAAACTCTGATACTTTCTTTAGTTTCTCTCCACATAAACATCGCGTCCAGACAGAAGAAGAGGAAGCTTCTTTCCCTTGTTTATGTGTTTGCTTAGAATTACAATTGTAAACAAGATTACTTGTTTTTGTTTTCTTTAGAGATGTGATGCTTTTCATTGACAAAATTCGAACGGTAAGCTTCGCTAGCTCTCTCTTTTATTGGTTAGGAACATGAGCAACGAACGGAAAACTGGAGAGGTTAACGCCAAAACCAAAGAAAAGAAAAATGCTAATGGAGTTTATTGATGTGTCTGGTATCTCTTTCATGATAGTTCAGAAATCCTACATAACGACAGAGAAAACATGCCTAGCTTTACGGAAATTTTTTCTTGTTTTGTCACATGGAATAACATTGAAATAGCGCATACTCGGGCGCAATTCAAACTTATCGAAGTACATTTTCATGATAATATAAATGGTCTAATAATCGACCGAAAATTGTATCAGTTTTTGATTCAGTTGAAAGAATGATTGACATACGGCCATTTAGGAGTTATTGACCTGACTTACACCGTTCAGAAATTGGTCGATAGCTGACGGCTTACTTTTTAGATCGTTTGCGACGGTTTCGAAACATATATCTCACATAAACATCTACAACTAATTTATATTCATTCCACAAAGTTGATCTTTGGCTTGAAAGCAGCTTGTCTTCAGCAGGTAGTCTGTTAATTGTTGTTACGCTTAGCTGGCATAGCAACGAAAGCGTTCAAGCATATCTTACGAAACCATTTAAATGAACTGTGGCGTATGCATTATTGACAGATTTGAGCGGAAAACCACTGAATGTCTTTCCAGTAAATGAGCCTTACGATTGCAAAGGTGATTTCAAACTGAAAAAAAGATTTCGCACAGCAAATATGTTGCGAGATGAAATCGTTTATCCAGGTGGCAACATTTATTATGGTGTTACACCAGTTCTTTTTTGTCTTTCGCAAGTATCTATTCATCAAATATTTACATTTAGGCGGCAAAGAGAAAAATGTCAAAAATTTTTGAACCACTTCGAGAAGAGAATTGCTAAATTCACGAAGAACTTCTATATAAAAATTGAAAAGATTAATTCTAAATTCCATTGTGCGAGTCAATCAGTTTTAATAAAGCTTTCCGTCATTTTTTTGAAAGAAAAATTTTTAATAACCGATATAGTTGATAACCGACATTATGAAGTAAGATAAATCAGATAACGTCTTCCTAAGCTTAATCCTCTAGTTCTGTTCTTTCCCTTATTCAAGTTCAGTAATCTCAAAACAGACAACGTTCTTGAAGTCACTTATCTTACTCAACGAAAAAGGTTTGACAGCGAGACAGTTTTAAAATCGATAAATTCGCGGGTATATCTATTAGGGTATGTTGATGAAACCAAATCTTCGTTTTGTAAGTAAAGTGTATTTCGTATAAAGAAAGTCCTAAAAAACACTTACCTTCTGTAGCTGTGATGACTTGGACAAGATACACAAAAATACAAAAGTGTATCCGTCTGAAAATTGCCATTGCTAGTTGCTTTTTTCCTCGGCTTGTGAGTTGCCCCTTTTCCTTCTCAATCGAGAGGAGGCTATATCCTCCCAATTTCTAACCTTTTTCTGCAGACAATAAAACTATTTCTTACCAAATGAATTTGAAATAAATTTTTTCCTACTTAATAATATTGAGAAGAGATATGATGGAAAGAACATTTGATAAAACTTGTTATAGTAGTGTTGGTTGAACCACCTAACGACCCGTTTTCTTGAATGGTGCTATATTGATTTTTCTATATGTTGGGTAACCTGTCGCATCACAAGAGAGTTTACGTCCAAAGATTAAAAAAGTATCAGGTCCGACTTGAAATTACTAACAAATTAAACTTGACATTTCGAAAATATAATCGTAGAGAAAAATTTTTTTTTTTCATTTGCTGCCTTGAATAGTCAAAATCTACTAAGTTCTACTCTTTCAAACCAATTTCAAAATCGTGAAATATTCGATCTAAGGAGTAAAAGGTTTTATTCTTGTGTTGACAGTCTCTTTGAAGGTCTAAGATAAAGTATCTATTTTCAAAAAAACCAGAAGACTTCAATTTCATTTTCGTTGCCAGAATGAAGCTAGGTTTTTCCTTGGAAATAAAGATCAGTCGACCGAAACTAAGTCGGGAATTTTTCCGGACAGACTAAATTGCTTTCTTATGAAAATGAGTAAACTAGCATTTTTTTAAATTGCTATCTCTTACCTTTGAAAACAGTAAAGTAAAAATATTCCTGTTTGCTCTCGTTACGTTATCAGCAAGTGGAATTTTAGCCCCATCTCGTTGTGTCCAGTGTCGACATTTCTACTCTGAAAATACGAGCCCAGCAAATAATTAATTCTTTTGTTAATAAAAATGCGAACCGCGACTGGTGCATGCGTAGTCGGAGGGCCACGTATGTAATCAAATAAGGAAGTGACTGCTTGCGCATGCACCTTGATCTCCATCAGCGACTTAACCGGTGGACCAATTAGAAAATTTGTTATCGTTACTGGTAGTGTCACGACGCTCGCAGAAACAGGAAGTCAGAATTTGACAGGTTCATATAAGACACCTAAGGAAGGGCTTCTTTCAGAACTAGACATGTCACAGTTTATGCAAGAAGACATTGTTAAACGCAGTTCAGATCTATTTCACACTTTCCCAAATCGTACAAGTAAAAATTTGAAGAGTACCTCTCCTTGAGAAAGCGCGATAAAATGACTGCGTCTCTCCATTAGAGAAGTAAAAGGTGTTTGGTGAAAGTGCAAATATTCTTTTTTATCAATAAGTGTGATGGATTCGAGAATTTATATCCTGTGAAAGCTCGATACTAAAGCTGTCAAACGATAAAATATCTAGAGTTGTTCATTCCACTGGTCGTTTAGCTTGCAGTGAAACTAATCATCCATAAAAAAACACCGAATATATTGACCGAATATGGCTTATTTTACAGCAATGTAACCGTCGAATCAGACAAAGTATTTAACGGATGGCAAGATTTTCGGAGATGATTAACTTTATTTTTTCATCTTGTTTACTCGGGTTAGCTCATTAAAAACCAAGCAAAGTGACTGGTAAAGATCAAAGATCGAGGTGATGACCGGGAATGTATTTTTATTGCTTTTTTCACCTAACAGGTAACGCATTCATTTGATGAAGAAACTCCACAATTGACTTCCATCAGTACAGTTCTCAGGTTTGAAAGATCAATTGTTTCTGATTATAACTCTCGGTAAGCTTGTAAAAGCTTCATGTTCTGTCTCTGATTATATTGTTTGTTTATGCAGACAATCATACTACATGATCGACAGGTTCATTAAAACCATTCAATATACGTATGACGACCATATTATTCAGACTACTGATACAATGAGAGTTACGAAGTCTGCTTGCTCATATGACTCACTTGTTTCTTTACGACATGCATGGAATACTTCGGGGAAACTTTACAGAATGGAGATTAGATAATTCAGTCACTAGAGAGACTGATTTTCATCAAAACGTTTCTATTTTTTTGTCTTATGACGCGTATTTACAGCAGACGGTCTTTACGGTCATTTTCAAGTTGTGTGCGATTCCTGACCGGTTAACCTTGGAAATGATCGAGAGGGACTAGATTGGTCTTAGACATAAATGAGTTTAGATACCTGTTCTCCTAACCTGTCAACGCATGTCAACTGTCAACTGAGTGGCTACAAGTAGATTTGGGACACTGTTAGCAACTGAGTCAGTTAAATTAACGTTTATTAACAAACAAAACTTTCATGGCCTTGACTCGTAATTTTCAATATTGTATCCGGAGATAATTGAGCGAGAAATCTCTTTGGAAGCTAAGCATTCTGTTTTGTTTTTCGCAGAGATTGCTCGAGTCAAAACAAGAAGTGAGCGTCGTTCTCGACCTCCAAGGTTTACAAGAAAGAACTTATAGAACTTAAAATTCAGAAACAAAAACATCTTTGGTGGAGCTCTGTTCTATGAATAGACAACATCAGCAAAACTCAGTTATAAAACTTGATGTAACATCAAAGATTCAAGTCAGATTTCCGGAAAGTGATTGAAACTAGAGGGTACGTCATGTTTTATCCCGTGTAGTATGACCCTGGGTCCGCACCATACTGCTGTTGGTATTGTTGTTCGTTTGAATAATAATTGGCTTGTCCCGCGGTATCTTGAGTCTGTGATCTGTCGTACTGCTGGTAAGCGGTGTTGTCATAGCTATTGTAAGACTGTGCGTTATAGGACGGATAATTGTTTTCAGGACTGCTCTGCTGGGAGCTGTAAGACATGTAATCTGCTTGAGGACTGCTCTGTGTGTTATAAGATGAGTAATCTGGTTGGGAATTGCTTGGTTGATCATTGTAGGGAGCCTGGTTCTGGTAATAACGCTGAGACGAGGCTTCTTGATAGCCGTATGATGCCTGATTACTTTGTCCAACTTGATTCATTACTTCTGCGATGAAAAAATACATACACTCTTCCATTAAAAATAAATATCACTTGATCATAAGAAAATTATTGCTATCGTTGAAAAAAAATTGCCGTTCAATTTACTGCTAGAGTAACGTACAATGGTCTTACAAAAAGATCCTGTCTTTTCCTCTAAGAGATGTTTGACAGCACAAGTCGCATGCATTACGTAACCTTTTTTTTTTATTTTTTTAAGTCCGTCCAATTCCGAATTGATTTATTCTCACGGAATATCTTTTAGAATTTGTAAAGGTGGGCTGAACTCGTCCCAATCCTTTCAGTCCCAAGATCTCATTAGTAATTCTCCTTATATTAATGTCTGTAATGCAATTCTTATGGTGTGAATTTTGAGAATTTGTCATTGGATCAACTACTATAATCCCCTACTTGTTATTTATCTTTATTCTCATCACATATCTGCCTAATAATGCATTAACATTGTAACGAGAAATTCTGTTTTTTTTTTACTCATGAGAGTTACAGGGTCAAAGGGCGAACTCGTCGTGTTTGGAACGAATGGTACGGGAAAACTTGCAACAAGGCGAACCCTCTATTGACCTTCCAAATTGCATCTATGTTTGCAATCCCTTCACACTAACTCAATCTCCGGATTCCTTCATACGCAATTCAGCTACAAACACAGAAAAAATTAAATGCAGATACCAGAAGCCCATTACTTAATGGGCTTCTGCAGATACTTAAAAGTCTCGTAGGAACATTTTTGGTGCCAATCTCGAACTTACCGTTGGTCCTGTTGAGAGTTTCGTTAGGTTTGCCAAACCAAGACTCAGTCGTTGTGATGTTATGGTTTGGGTTATATTCTGTTGTCGTCAACTGATGCACAGCTTGACCAGCTTGGCCGGGAGCATTTCCTGGAGCCTGGGTCTCTCCAGGAGTAAGTGTTGTCTGCGATATCGGGAAAGGAGAGCCGGGAGTTACACCCTCCACAGGTGGCTGGCCTGGTACCGGAGCAGGAGCAGGAGCAGGCTGTAAAGCTGGTTGTTGACCGGGCTGTGGAGTGGGCTGTTCGGGAAGTGGTAGTGCTGGTTGTTGAGAGGGCTGAGGTGATGGCTGTTGAGTTACCTGTGGTTGCGGTTGCTGAGTTACCTGTGGTGTTGGACCTGGCAGCGGGAGTGTGGCCGCCCCGGCCGCTGCACCTCCCATTCCAATGGATGGCGTCGGTATAGCTCCTGGCTGCCCTATAACTGCGGTCTAAACACATTTTAAACATGTCTTTCATTTGATCCTTAAGTTATTGCTACAAAAAAAATTCACTTTGAGTTCAAATCTTTTCATCTCAATGTATCGAAGGCCGAAGACAAACGGCAGTTCTTCTGTTCCAGTATCGCCATATGCATGAACATTACGTTTTAGTTTTTTCCTCCCTTTTTCCCTTCCCTTTTCTCCCTTTCCTTCTCTTCATACTCGAAAAAACGCATCGATGATCATGTCTGTTTGTTACTGCAATTGGTTTGATGAAAGATGGAAATGCGCTGAATTATACTCTCAATGTCGTATATATTTACCTGGCCTGCCTGTGTCACTGACTGTGAAGCTGCTGGTTGAACACTGCTGGCCATAACAGCAACTGACTGATTGCTGGCTGGTTGAACTGCACTACTAGTATTTATCTGTGATACCACAGGGCCTCCAACACTCGGAGAGGGAGATGGCATGGCTGTTGCATTTGCAGTCGCAACAGCTATCGTACCCGTGGCTTGTGGCTGAATCGACTTCGTGGGTAACGGCTGAACAGTTTTATTAGCGGCAGAAGGAGATGCATTTACTGATGAAGCCGGCATTATCGCGGTTTTTGAAGGTTGTACACTGGCTGGATTGACTGTTGCAGCTGCACCTGAGGGTGTGGTCACACTGGACTCCGGGATTGCAGGACTAGCATTTGACCCGCTTGCACTCTCGTTCGAGACACTGTTAGCCACGTTGTTTGCTATGCTAGATATAAGATCATCTGTGCTTTTGTATTGTTGTTGAGCCTCTCCTCTGTGATCTTTGAATCGTAATGTCTTAGGTGTATCACCGTCATCTGAATGAAGTGAGACGAGAGATTGATGATAGAAGTGTCCCGTGGAAAGATTTCAAATTCGTCTTAAAAACACCGTAAAAGTGAAGCTTTGACCAAATATTCTCTAAATAAAGTAGTAAAGAGCTTAAATGGCTGAAAAATAAGTTATAGACGCCATTTTCTCTGATATCAGGAGAATTAAAAGCAAAGAAATTTTAAGAAATCATGACTCTCATGATATTGTTTTAGGCTTCTCTCTTACAGAACGAAAGATGAAAGAGAGGCCCGTTCCTATCACATGCGCTATTGAACCCTATCATACAAATTATTTTGCAGCGAAAAAGGGCAACCGGCAATCACTTGATAAATGAACTGAGAAGTATCTATCATCTTGAAAATTAGATGAGAGCAAATTGGCTATTTTACCTTACCGATCGCTAGCTAAGCCGATTTCACAACCCAACATTCTACGGAGCAAATATCGAAGAAAAATGCTTTTAATGTGCATTACCTATACACTCTCCCCAGACTCCATCCCGGTCAAAATTAGTAGAGATTGAGCACCATGGCTTGTTGTGATCCAAGTAAGTACAAGTGTAATGCTTGACGCCGTTATACTCGAAAGGAAACACACAGCAACCACCATTACCGTTGCCATCCCTACTCCACACGCCACAAGTGGTCCCTTAAAACCGGAACACGGCAATTTAAGAACAAAGGAAACATGGAAAACAACGTTACTCATTCTTTGGACGAGATGAAACTGAGAAATCCTCCAAATATGATGTTCTCGCTCCTTAAACAAGGAGTTTGTAGATCAGCATTTTAGAATGTATAAAAGCTATAAAACTGAATGAATGACAGGAAACTTGATTAAGTCAGTCTAAGAGTTGTATCGAGAAACAGTCCGATCGATTTCCTAGATTTCAGCGAGTCTAGTTCATTTTCAGGAGAAGGAAACGTTCTCAATCAGAGCTCTAACCTTCTTTTAAGATATGACGGTACAGACTCAATTGCTGAGAAAATTGTAATCTGTGCTAAAGTGGAATTTTGATCTTACCGTTATCCATTAAAGGTAAGCACTCTGCGCAGCATTTCCACTTTTTCTTGATGGGCTTGTCACAGTTTAAATCCGGGCATTCTATTTTAGAGCACTTTACATGACCATGTGAGCATCGACATTCTGGAATACAGGGACCTGGGGACCAGGCATCGCTATGATGTCGGACAACACCATCGTATACACAACCTAAGACAAGGAAAACACAACTTTGATAATCCACACTTTTTAGGAAGGTGTTTTGAATATGAAAGGTCTTCATTTTTGACACAAGTTTTGGTGTGTAACAACGTGTTCGTTGTGGTAGCCTAATAAAACTTTTGTCCAGTTGGTTTTTTTTCGAACACATTGTAGATAAGCATTGCATACGATTTATTGAAAAGAGATATGTAAGAATTGGAAGTTAGAGAATGATCGTTCTTTAAGAGTTCATGAAAATTATTAAAGTTTTTTATTATCAAGTTATCGATCAATTTTGGCGAGCATACTGATGAAAACAATATTATTGAAAAAAATCATTACTTTGCATTTATGACAACACACAAACATCAAACAAATTATACTTTGATTTAAGACAAACATCTTAGGAACCTATAATTACTACAGAAAGTGAAAAAAAAAATGACGATTAGAACAGGATAAAAATCACGTCTTTTTACCTTTATTGTGCGTGGCAACATTCGCTGGCAGTTTGATGGTTATGAAAGTCGATTTGCTTTCCTGCGAAGAATCTGTTGTCACAAAATTGATCAGAAATAAACAATTGGCGTTACAACAGGTTAACCAACATGAAATACTACGCTTTAGCAGGTGGTAAATAAAAGATGACAAAATCACAAAATTTTTTAATTCTGATAAAAAGTCTTAACGAATTTGGCGCTTTTGTGTTCAATACCACTCTAGGGAAACGATCGATTACCATCGGCTAAAAAACGTACAACTATAACTGATATGTTTGGTCTATGGAAACTTTGATTACATTTACTACACACACTTCAATAATCATCGTTTTCCAAATAACTCGCAACCATAAATATCCACTTCACCATTATGAGAAAAAGCTTAGATTTTGATGCACTCTTGCATCAAGTCATTACGACTAAATTAAAACGGCTTCTGAAGTCGTGCAGTATACGGGCGCGAAATGACAAGCTTCATACTTAGTAACGTTATCACGTTTAAAAGAAAGGGTCTTTATTTTCCTTGCTGTTCGTTACAAATATGTCTGAAAACTTACCATCGTTGTTTTTGAAGTGCTTTTTCCCTTGGCAAACAATTAAACAAATCAGCAGTATAAATAAAAGTCGCATTTTTTGAGACAATTTTGTCGCTGCCTTCGGTTGAGGCAGTTTCAGAGTCACGTGACCACAGCTATTTTACGGTAGCTGATTTCGTTGGTTACTTACATTATTAAACGTTCTGTGGTAGACTTCCCTTAATTTTCCTCAGTATGTGTGGAGGTGCCCATGTGATGGTCACTAAAACTGTTGGGATTAATTCAATAGTCTAAAATAAGATTATAGCTATCCTTTGTAAAGGCCTATAATCGCCTTTAACCAGCGACATCAATTTGAGCGTCTTAGATTTTCCCGGAATAGAAATATTTTCCTGGATATATATTTAGGGAGCATTGGTTAAATAGAAACTCGAACGCTCTCCTCGTTTCCTCCCCGACCATTACAAACGATCGAGAATGTCTAAGATTCCTCACTCTACAGTTCTAGATCCCAACAATCATGGTCGTCCTAGCCAGAAAATTCATTACAATATTCCAGCACTTTTCTGAGTTTAGTTTCCTCTCCAGGGCTCCAAGCGCCTCAAAATGTTTTCAGATTATAGAGAGGATCACGTGGAAACGCTCCCCTTACGCTTGATGTATGACTCAAACAATTGGAGCGTTTTTAATCGTCCAGAAAATTATTGTGATCTCTATGGAAATTTCAACAATCGTGACATAGCAGAAGTAGAGAGGGATCCAAAATGATCTCAGCACATGTCATCTTTTAATTCCAGACTCGTCACCTTCTTTCAAGATTAGGCTTTGTGAATGGTAACCCATCATCTCTTTCAAAACTCATCTTGATTTTTATGGCATGTGGTGAGCATTGCCACTTTCCTTGGATGGGATGCAGGTGCATCACTTCCCCAGTACTTGTTAGTACTTTTTGAACAACCATGAGTGGAAAGATGTCTTGTCCTATAGGTTAGCGGGTTAGAATCGAAGGTCTGGGTTCGAGACTCGAAAGTCGCGGTAACTTAACAGGCCTGAAGCCATATTTTAGCATAATATTTTAAACCCCCATCTTAAATGGAAACAGAAAAGCTTTACATGCTCGTTAACTAACCGGAAACTTCGAGAAACGGACCCCTAGCCAGGTAATTATGTTATTTTATAAAGGAAACAAGGTACTTTATCCTCACGGCACCACGCTCCATCCATAAGTATGGATTGGTGCTAGCAAATTGTAGGAGAAGCCTGCCACATACTACCATCCCACCCAGGGAAGTAACAACACTCCTTTCTAATCACGTCATAATATAAAGACTGGGATAAGGTCAATTGGATTGGCCATCTAACTCAAGAGCAGACTAAATCTTTTATCTAATTCAAACTCACGAGTAGAGAGAGATGCTGTGAGAGCAAACTATCTCGCCATAGAACACAAGAAAATGACCAGGTCAGGGTTCGTCCTCTAGCTCATCGTTGGTCTGCTGGCAACCACGCATGCTTTAAGCCCATTAGGGACAGGGGACAGTTTGGATTTTATAACCAATGAGTTTCTCGAAACTTCTTCATGGTCTGTAAGGTTTTGACACCGTGGAGACTTTGCCCTGAGAGCTTTCAATTCGTCATTCTATTCTCGCTTCTTGCTTCATGTGTCAACTCACGGTCAATGACATTGTGGGCAGCAAGTCGAACTCAACTGATTTGCCTCCAATATCATAGTCCTAACAACAGTGCTCCTCCCTCGTCCCACTATCGGCCGTTTTGAGAATAAAAAATCCTATTTAACGAAACAAAATCCCTGTACGGTTGTCAGACTTACAACCACATGGCTAAAGAAAAATTGTAGGCGAACACAAGTCAGTTGTTTGATAAATGCAAGACGTAAGTTTTCAGATAGTGACTTTATTTATTAATGCAGCGTTTAAACGGCTAACAACTTTTCTGTTCTCTGCAACAACATTCTCCTTGAAATGGTAAATGAACATCAGAAATATCATTAGAGATTAAATATACCTTTTTTAAATAAAAAAAAATGAAAGGTACGACTGCATAGTGTTTAACTTTCTGTGATTCGTCTCTCCTCTTTCTCGCTGGTTTAACAACCATGGTTTGTCATCTGTTCGTAGCGACCTTCTCCATCTGTTTGGAAACGAGAAGAGTTATAGTAGCTCATAGGAAAGCCTCTATGTTTTACGCTTGATACCACTTGGTAAACGATGTGTAATGAAGTATTCTCAACCTTGTCCCAAAGGGTTTTCATGATTCTTCTGAGACCCAAGAGAATTATTTTTGCCCTGTCCATTAAGGTTTTCCGTCCATCGCTACGGGATAAACTAATTGCCGACCAGTTGCTATGGTGACAATATATGACTTCAAGAAAAATAGGAGATTGATGTATATTTAAGTAATGAGTTTGCAAAAAAGTATCTGATGTTCCTTCCGATCAAACAAGCCTCGAGCACTCCGTCCATTCTTTTCCTTAAAGAAAAAATGGTTTTTTTCTTATAAAATTTGTTCAAAGCATCAGCAATTTTTAGCATCTATTTTGAATAACGTCACAGGCCACAAATGATTATGTTTTCCAATCTTCTAGATGAGAGAAGTCACTTAAAGGAATTTTTATCGGTAGAATCAGCTTACCGTTTCGAAAACCAGAAAAATCACTACGATATGATTAATGCGAAAGTCATTTTGCATGGTGCGTAAAACCCGTCGTGAAATGTAATAGATATAAGTTTTCAAGAACATTTTCTGTTACCTACCACATTTTTTTAATGGTGTCCTTTTCCTTCGCTGCCGCTTTGTCCTGGTGGACACGGTTTGTCAGGGCAATAAGGATTAGGATCAAATACGACATCCTGGCTGAGATCTGTGCCACTGGACGTCACAGATACTGTTTGAGAGCCTTGGGCTACAACATTCACATTATTGGGGTCCATTTTGCCGACAACTTTCTGATGATTTTCTCCACTGT